ACCACAGCAGTTCAGGTAATAGGAATCCTTATCAAATATGCAGGGGTTCCTTCCTTCGTTCCAGACCACAGCAGTTCAGGTAATTGGAATCCTTATCAAATATGCAGGGCTTCCTTTGTTCCAGACCACAGCAGTTCAGGTAATCGGAATTCTTATCAAATATGCCTTGGGTTTCCTTCGTTCCAGACCACAGCAGTTCAGGTAATTGGAATCCTTATCAAATATGCAGGGCTTCCTTTGTTCCAGACCACAGCAGTTCAGGTAATCGGAATTCTTATCAAATATGCCTTGGGTTTCCTTCGTTCCAGACCACAGCAGTTCAGGTAATTGGAATCCTTATCAAATATGCAGGGCTTCCTTCGTCCCAGACCACAGCAGTTCAGGTAATTGGAATCCTTACCAAATATGCATGGGTTCCTTCGTTCCAGGCCACAGCATTTCAGGTAATTGGATTCCTTAACACCAATGCAGGGTTTCCGTTGTTCCAGACTCTAGCTTGTTCGTTCTTAAAGATAATTGAGAGAAATCACTTTTAAAACAAAATTTTGTTCTTTCCAACTTTCTTCTTTAAAAGCATCGGAAGAGCCTTCACTTTGAAAATCATCACGTCTTGTTCATGAGTTTTTGTAATGATACAGTTAGACCCATGAAATTGTGGAATATGAAGACGACATTTAAGCAATCTTATGAATGTATATATTTGTCAAAAGCAAACATCCTTACAAATACCTTGGTATAACTCACAGTTTCTGTGTTTTATGTCTATTGGACTATTAAAAATCATAACTTGATTTTAACACTTGTCCTCCTCCTTTTCCCTAGTGTTATTACCCTAAAGTAGAAATCGTAACTTCAAGTGACTCTCCATGAAAAAATGTCTCGGCAATGTCTTTTTAATATCGGTCTAAGCCTTGTCAATTATGAATTAGATATCAATGTTTATAATTTTAAAATTAAACTGTTTTCAATTTATTTGTGGTTTTTTTTCTACAGAAGTTATTTGCGCAATTCTACTACATCTTTGCTTGGAGGGTCACTTGAAATTACGCTTATAGTCCCTTTATTATTCAGGTCTGTATCCCACGCTATTGAATGGTGCGTGAGGTCAGGTCAGGCTAGGAACCTAGATTCAGCCAGGGTTAGCATGCCAGGTAGTTAATATAATAAAGCTCTATGCTTTTATATAATGTTAGCTATACCTGGCCAAAGGGCTTAACTGAATGGGCTGGCTTTTTTTTTGAGGGAACCCATTTTTTCTTCTTCAAAATTCGATTTTTTAAAACTCCAGGAGCAACGCCGGGCACTTTAGCTAGTTAAACATAAATCTGGATTCTTTCCTAGAACATTTATTTATTTGTAATTTTTCTTTTGCACGCTTTTTGGACCCCCTCTCCTATCAATTTTGTACATGGATCTCATATGTAACACGGATGTAAGTGGTCATGTTGCCGCAGCCTGTCCTAGCCGCAGCGCTCGGCCCAGAAAATGTCTTAACCAAACCTAACCCTAAAATAATACAAAATAAATAAAAATTATTTTGCTGAAAATTAGTTGGTCATGTACAAAATTGATGGAAGGGGGGGGGGTCCAAAAATCGATCTATATAATTTTGATTTTTTGAGATTTTTTTTTTGCTTTATTTATACTTAAACTTTACAAACATATAAAAAATTAAAGTAAAATAACATCTCATTTTTCAACAGTTGAGATTTGTTTACAGATTTTTTTGGGGATGATATGTTGCCCCGTGGATCCAGATTTGTGGATACGCATATTTTTGCGGATCCGGATCCAGAAAGCCAAAATGTTGCGGATACTAAAAAGTTTGGGGAAAGCAAATTTCAAGTTTTGCTCCCTTGAGTATAATTTGTGGAAATAATTAATTATCATATATCCAATTAGACATTTCTATAGTATTAAGTTTCAAGCTGCTTCTAAATGATTTTGATCCTGTTATATTTTTATATATTCTTATTCATTTAATATTTATATATTTTGATAACGAATAGGACAAATTTTATATATTCATATATTTTGATGTCGAATATGACAAATATTATATATTTATATATTTTAATGTTGAATATGACAAATATTATATATGTTATTTATTTTAATGTTGAATAGGACACATTTTATATATTTATATATTTTGATGTCGAATTGGACAAATACTATATATTTATATATTTTGATGTCCAATAGGACAAATATTATATATTCATATATTTTAATGTCGAATTGGACGAATATTAGATATTTATATATTTTGATTTCGAATAGGACAAATAAAGGACCGGGAGGGCCGTCTAGTATCTTCTCTTGTTCATGAAGTAACAACACAGGAGCCAGAGGTATAAAACACAAAGAAACAAATCAGCTACAGATTTTAGAATTTAACCAATAAAATTAAATAGTTAGGTTGGTGCCAAGGTATTTTTATGCATCTAGATTGCATTGATAAGGACCAACCTAATGATTTTATATTTTTATTATTAACAAAGTGATAATTCAGCAACACTTCAGAGGATAAAATGCCATGCGTACAGCATAGATGGTGACGCTACGCAACCATTCACAAGACCTCAAAGCCATATTATATTATCTTTGTCAGGGGTTAATCAATAGATTTTGTTGCAGGTGTAATATGTTATTTTTTGGCAGATTTTATCGACTTTTTGGCAAATTTTATCGAACAAGATACTTTTTGGAGAATGTTATGTGTCAAATGTTTGAAAATGGGTGCAAAGTTTGGGTTTACATTGTACAATATATTCGCCCAGATTAATCCTAGATGATCCCCCATATTTAACAGCCTTCACAAACTTCAGCCTCAGTATATTTGGGGATATTTTCAAACATTTTAAAAATAGACGTTTTCGTCCTTAAGAAAATATCCACCCTGATATACCTTTACTGGATAAACATAAATCTGTTTCAGGTTATTGATGTTGGGAAAAGGTTGGCTCCTGTACCCCCTCCTGACAGGAAAATATTATTTTCATGATTTTTATTGATAGTTTGACTAATTACATTTATTTGTTTTGTTTTTTGCCTAAAAAAACGTCAAAATGGCTGAACCGATTGAGTCGAAATTTAGTTTGGAAAACGTAATCTTACATTTTACTTAACTTTAATATCATTAATTATAAGAGGAAAAAAATAACCTTCGATTTCTACAAGATATAGAAATGCTATTTAACATCCCAACTTTTATAAAAAAAATATGTCAAAATCAGTCAAAATAAGTTTGATATTGCTGTTTGAGTTATTACAAAATATTTCTGCATATTCAAGTCTGAAATAATCCTAAATACAATTGATTGCAGTATAATAGAAGAAGATGAGAAGGATGAGAAAGAAGAAAATGAAGGAAAGGACGAGGAGAAGAAGGAGTTTTCAACTCCGGAGAAAATTAATGGGGATAAGAAACCGGAAGTAAGTGAGCTTTTGTGTAAATGCCCAACATTATTCTTTAAGAGAAATAGTAGTACATATTACGGCGTTGTGACATTTAATAGGAAGACATTTCAAAGAAAGACATTTTATAGATAGGAAATTTCATAGATAAGAAATTTCAAAGATAGGAAATTTCATAGATAAGAAATTTCATAGATAGGACATTTCATAGATAAGAAATTTCAAAAATGGGAAATTTCATAGATAAGAAATTTCATAGATAGGAAATTTCATTGATAAGAAATTTCATAGATAGGAAATTTCATAGATAAGAAATGTCAAAGATAGGAAATTTCATAGATAAGAAATTTCATAGATAGGAAATTTCATAGATAAGAAATTTCATAGATAGGAAATTTCATAGATAAGAAATTTCATAGATAAGAAATTTCATAGATAGGAAATTTCATAGATAGGACATTTCATAGATAGGACATTTCATAGATAGGAAATTTCATAGATAGGACATTTCATAGATAGGACATTTCATAGATAGGACATTTCATAGATAGGACATTTCATCTATGGAGAATCTTCTCTTTCTATGAAATGTTATATCTTTGAAATGTCCTATCTATGAATTTTCCTATCTATATAATTAATGTCTTCTTATGAAACGTCTCATCTTTGAAATGTCCTATCTATGATTTTGTTATCTATGAAATGTCTTTCTATGAAATGTCCCATATTACATAATGTGTTCTTATTTAAATGTTCATTAAGTGTTCATGAATAATAAATGGGGTTTTAAGATGAATGTTTTTAATTAGAATTTGTATTTTAATTCGAAGTTGACATGTGCAAAGCATTATTGTCCTGATTCACCGTTATGGTGTGATTAGATACGATGTTTTTTCTTATATATATGTGCATTGTGTATTGCGTACAGTGAAGGATTGTTTGTCGGTATGAATTCTGAAATTTAATTTAAGTTTTCCCCTCCCCACCCCCACCCAACCAAACAAAGAATTTTGAATGAAAAATAATTTTTGTTTCAATATTGAGTATTGGGTAACTGAATAAATGATGATTAATAATTTCTGAACTTTTTTGGAACCCAGCATTTTATCCCATCATTATTTGGTCCAAGGTTAATTCTATGTTTTTATGTCAGGATGGTGACGGACCATACACCTGGGCCGTTGATCTCTCCACTACAGAGCCTCATTGGGCCAGCTGGTTCCAGGTACAAAAACAATCTTATTTTACCCTATCTAAAAATTGATAGTTCAGAAGAAATTTTAAGTCGAAGCATATTTCGATGTTTCACTAGTTGCGCCTCAGCTCTGATTATACTTATCTTAAAGAGTGAGTCTCTGTAAAAGAGACTTGCTGATTTATCATTGACAGCAAAGAGAAATTATGAAAATTGAGAAATTCAACATTGTTTAGGACAGAAAAATAAACGACGAAATCTCCGTAATTTTTTACAGAAAAAGAAAAAATACACACTCTCAAAATGGAAATTTTTTGATTTAAATAGACCCTCGACTCCTTGTGGTCATGGTTTTATATTTTTCCAAACACAAATTACAATTTTAGGATCTGTCCAACAATTTTCTGTCTGCCCCGTCTGCTAAACTTCTTCTGTTAGCTGGAGTTGACCGTCTAGATACTAACCTAACTGTAGCGCAGATGCAGGTCAGTTTAAATAGAGGTATATACAGAGCGTCCCATATCATATTAGACTTTCTCCAATCTTTAACGCCAATATACGGATATAATACTCGAAAAATCTTGCATTTTCTGCAAGAAATAATTTCTGTTAGCCTTATTAAATTTTTCAAAATGATTCTTTCTTCTTAAATTTTCTGATTTGTCCCCCAAATCGTAATTTAGACCCATTGACGCGGTCTAATTTGATGTGGAACACCCTGTATTTTCATAAATATAATTTTTTCCCATACGGAACCTCCTCCCCTCCCCTTCTGAAAATAATTTTCCCCGAGATGATAGATATGTAGAAAAGTTTAAGTAGTTCTATCTTCTGATTTGGGGAAAGGAAGGACTTTATACTGAAAAACCATTAAAAAGTTATAATACTTGCCAGTTGATTTCCATTTTTCCCTTGGAGCATCAAAATCATTTCTTGAAAATACTTAACATTATTAAGCATGATTATATCTGTTGAGCTTGAAATTTGAAAAGTAAGCACTAACTTTTTAGATGTCGTCTTATAATTTGCTTTTTTCAAGTGTAAGTACAGAAATTTATATTTTTATGCGATGATTTCATATATCAAAGTTCTCAGAATGCATTGAAATAGAATTTTGTGCTTTAAGTACAAGGTTGTTAAGAAAAGGACGACTGGTCGATATTTGTTTGGTCTTTTTATTGCATTAAGGTTCTCTCAAAACTGGAAACTTTTCTCTTTTTTTACTAAGTTATTTAGTACACCAGTGTAGCCCACAGACAAGTTTAATCTTTATATCATTATATTTGAGGAGCTTAATGTCGCCGTTTGATTCTCATTTTTTTAGGATAGTCTTGTAAAACGGGAAGGGGAAAGGGAAGGGATAAGAGTTCAAGGAAACGGGAAAGAGATAAAGAGAAAGGGAAGGAAAAGGGGGAAGGAGAAGGAAAAGGGGAAAGAAAAAGGAAAAGGAATGAAAAGGGAATGAAAAGGGAAAAGAAAAGGGTAAAGAAAAAGAGGGAAAGGGACAGGGAAAATGAAAGGATAAAGGGAAGAAAAAAGTAAAGGGAAAGGGTACCAGTGGAAAAAAGGAAAGGATGGGGAAGGGTGAAAAGTAGGGAGGAAGTTAGGGAGGGGAAAGGGGGGGAAGTGGATATGTAGGGAAGGAGATAGGTGGTATGGAAAGAGTCACAATTTATGCTTTTTAAAATGCATCATTTTAGGGATTATTATGCGCTGCAATTTTTAGTTTTTGAAATTAGGGAATAGATGTCTAAAAAGAAAATTTGAGGGGGAGGGGAAAGAATGATAATCTTTTTAGTACAAATTCGTTTATATTCATTTACTGGTGATTAGGTTCAGAGCAAATTTAGGACTACTCCCTTTATTTGATAATCTTGTTTGCATAAATTGGAGTACACTCCCTTTAATAATCTTGTTCAGGGTAAATTCCAGATGATCGTTCTCCCTCAGGTTGGACACGCTATACAAGAAGATTCTCCAGACAAGGTACGTATTGTATATCCCAGAAGTTTTGAGGATTATTTTGATGTCTTCCTTGCTGTTTTTGATCAAATGCCGCAAATATTTTTCATTTTAATGAATCGAATACGTATTTTAAAGAAAGTAAGCGCCCAACTTTATGAAGCTGTTTTTTATTTGTTTTTTAATTTTACTGGATAATTTTGGAAGCAAACGGATACAGTAAATCACATGTTTAAGAATACTATGAAGGAATTAGAATAATGTCGCATCGAAAAGTGTTTTGTGATTATTGCCGTTGAATATTATATAAACTAACGGATAAACTGAAACCATGTTAAATTTGCTTAGGATATTTACAATATTTAGTTGGTTAAGTTTTTAAGGCAATTGCCAATATATGAAAGTTTAAGTTGCTTGGGATGTTTCCAATATAAAATTGTCACTTGTTGAGGCAATTGCCATTACATATGTGTACAGGTTGCAAAGTTAGCTTCTGATAGTAAATTATTATTCAGGTTGCTGAAGCAATTGCCAATTTCCTTGTTCGTAACCGTCTGGCTGACTCAAAAGACAGTAATATTGTTGTTCCTAAAGGGCCCATTAGGGCATAATTAATTGATTAGTTTTTTATTAATTAATCATTGTTAATTATTTCAAAGCTTTCATAGAGGGATATTAAAGTAGTAATCACTCAAGCATAAGTACACTTGGTAGGTTTAAACATGCCTGTGTACGTAATATTTACTTTACGCCATGCAGTTCACTATTTGTTAGTATACAGAAGACACATCTGTTGAGATTCCCGGTGTACAAAGTTCTTGAATGATCGTGTTTGATCATTGTTGTACCTTGTTGTATATTGTACTCTAGTTGTACATACGGAAAATACACTAAGAACCCAGAATACTCACAGTGAGAACCAGAAATCTGTGAGATATGAAGACGACATTAAACCCAAGTGTTTTAAACATTGTGTTTACATTCCTCCAAGAGATTGTGGTACACATTTTTGTCAACATAGTTATTGGAGTTCCTGGTTTATTTTCTTTGGATGTACATTACTCTCATCACACAATGCACCCATAGTTAACATTATTGCTTTTAATATTAATTAATAATTTACATTTTACACATAATATATTTTAACTTGAACCCAAATAAGAATATATGTGATAATTTACGTCACAAAATTTGCACCGTATTAATATTAATTCGTGAATCGGGGGGTTGTATTTCTATGCTTGAGTAAAGGTATTTTATACTGCTTCTGAGTTTTCGCCAATATTTTTTAAGTGATATAATAAGCTTTAATTTTAACTGAAAATATTGGATACTAGGCATGTAAAGGGATAAGTTTTTAACGTTACTTTTCATTTTTCCATAAACAGATCGTAAAACTTTTTTATATTGGAGGATTTTCAAAAATACCCAACGTTATTTTTCCCAGCAAATAATAAATTATTAGATCTCTAGAATCTCATTTTCTCCTATTTTTCAAAGGTTTTTGCAATAATTAAGTAATTCTCAATATTTAAAGAGATTATTATAAAATTATATTACTGGGTAATGCTAATGGTTTTTAAGATGAGGATTTACTGTAAAAGGGTCAAAAATTGTTTTTTGTTTTCGATTGACGTATTCAACTGTTCTGATAAGCTTATATGTATATTGTATATTATACATTTCCTGCTGCATTAATCCATCCTAACTAGGATTAATCTCCGGTTTGAAAATATTAATTCACACATTTTTGGGACAAGCTTAGCTGTTTTCCAAACTGAGATGTGTAATACTTATTTTCAAAAACGTGACCAATCCTATTAACCTTTACTCAAATCCGTCTAAAATATTAGAAAGGACTGTTGGAAGTAATTTTTATTGATAGAGTGGCATGTCAGATTCTAAAAGATACTTCGAAACCTTTTGGTCGATTAAGAATGAATGAGATATCCATTATTTGAAAATTGATAATTTTATTATAATAATTTGCAGAATTCAACCCTTCTTGGTTAGCAAACGAGCATATTTTGCACATTATTCATTCGATAAATGTTTAAAGGGTACGGTCGCGAACCTGGTTTGACACTCCAGTTTTTTCATAATTACAACAACAGTCCCTTTAAGAGATGTTATATAAAGCACGTGGGTTGTCCATTGCTCCCTTAAAACCTTGTTAAAACTAATCTAAGCTGGGAACTATAGTGTTGAATTCTCATGAACCCGATTGCTTGATCTCGATAGCAACTGGGGGCACTTTTGATTTGAGGACAAATGCTTAATCTCTTAATTTCAGTAATTCCTCCCCTTATCAAAGCTCCCTTCAAGCCTTAACTAGGTACAATAATAATGCGGGATATCGATTAAAGATAAGATTGATCTCGATATTAACAATACAAAAGTTCCCAGCTAAGGTTCCTAGACACGCCTATCTTGTTTCAGAGTGAATATGAGTTGGTTTGATACCTCCAACCTATCCAGCATTGCTACTAAGGCAATGAAGGAGGCACAGAAGACGCTGGACAAGGCTCTGGACATCACAGAAACCGAGGAGAATAATAAAGGTAATCACTAATCAGCTAGGGTAATCCAAGGAGAATTGAATAGAAGGAGGGGGCGTTAGGGTTTCCGTACACTTTGATGTGTCGTTTTTGGACTGCTGAAGAACTAGTTTTTACGTAACAACAATAATAAAGATTGTAAACAATAACACAAATGATAAACAAACATCTGGCATTTCTGGCGTTAGATGAAGATTCACCATGTACTAACTCATGTTTGTTTACATTAGATCGGCTGCCTTTGTTATTGTTGTTACGCAAAAACTAGTTCTTCAGCAGTTTAAAACGTCACAGCAAAGTGTACGGAAACCCTTTTGCCCCCTCCTTCTATTCAATTCTCCTTGGGCTAATTCATACTGTCTAAAGTTTTGATTCAACGCGACTTGAAGTGCTTAATCTGTCTTATTTTACCGATCTCTGATTGGTTGAAGTTTAAGACATTTCTAAAATATTCGATGAATCTGTCGAATGAAATACTTTCCTAAACGGCTTATTTTAATCGAAAAATGAACTGGTAAAATTGTGTACCATTCAAACCTTAGTTTAACTTGTAAAGGTTAGATTGTTGTTACACGAACCATCAATTATGATTATCTTAAGTTGAACCATTAGTTTTAAGCGGAAAAAATTACTGTGTTTTTTACTCGTTTATCTGGAATTTATATGCATTCTGCGCCATACCTCAATTATTGAATTAAAGAAAAATGTTTTTCTTTGATTAATTTTGAAAATTATATTAAATTCTTTTCAAATATTAACATATCTGTTTACAAAATAATAAGTATAACTAGAATTGTATTTAAGATTCCAAATGGTTGGGCTGGAGCAAGGTTACAAAATCAGAATCCGACTCAAGTATTAAAGAAAACAGCGAGAAAACAAACAAACCTGATAACAATGCCTCCATTTGGGGATCTTTCTCAGGTTCCTTTTTTGAACCTGGAGCAGAAACTAACCCTGAATCTGATCCTGGATCAACTGAACCTGTATCTAATCAACCTAGGAAGCAAACTTCAAAAAATTTGTATGAGTCCACCATTTGCAATCCGTCAAGTCGTGCCGTCCAATCAGAGTCAAGTATCTTACCTTCCAGCCAATCACAGAGCTCCCTGATGGAAGGGTGCAGTGAAGAAGAAATTTTAATGACCCAGAATGAGCTTTCGAGGTATAAAGTACTTATTTGAATTTAAATGCCTTGGTTATTCAATTTTCTATGTGTTATTGAGAACTTTTTTAACAAACAAATTATTAAACTGATTGGTCGGTTTTTTTTTATTAACCCCTGATTCGACGGAAATGTTTTTCAGCGAGTTATGTTTGGGAGATTTAGTTGAAAGCGATCAATTTTCTACTTCTAGGTTAGTTAATATTATTATTGATATTATTTTTAATCATGAATCTACTAATAATGATACTATGTTCTGTCTAGATTGATTGTTTCTACATCCCCTGAAGTTTCAGAAAAGAAGAATATTCAAGCTCAACCCTTTTCCTTAGATGCAGAAACAGAAATGTACACTTCTGTGATAAAACATGAAGATTTGGAACCTAGTGAACCCTTGAAGAAAAATGAACTTTCAAGTTCTCCTATTTCGAAAGTTCCTGTATCTCCGTCAAGTGTAGAAGTAATATCTCCGCCAAGTGCAGAAGTAATATCTCCGTCAAGTGCAGAAGTAATATCTCCGTCAAGTGTAGAATTAATATCTCCGTCAAGTGTTGAAGTAATATCTCCGTCAAGTGTTGAAGTAATATCTCCGTCAAGTGTTGAAGTAATATCTCCGTCAAGTGTAGAAGTACTTTCTCCGTCAAGTGAAGAAATATCTCCATCAAGTGTAGAAGTAATATCTCCATCAAGTATCGAGCTTATTCACTCCGATTCCTCAGAACCTGGATCTCCAGGTAGGCAAGGATGATCCCCCTCCAAACTTTGTCATGTTGAATATTCATAGAAAATGTTGTTAATATTTAATTTATTCTTGCTATGCGACATTGTTCTATGCAGATTGCAGAGAACATTACTCTTGTTGCTACCCCNCCAAATTGGTCTATGAGTGCTACGGCTAGAACAATCAAAGGGGCTGAGTTTTATTGCTAAGACAAAATATGATAGGGGAAGCGACGGCTAGTGAAAACTGGAGAAGTTTATTTAGAAAAAAATAATTACTACCAATAATGTCGTCGAGTCATGTATCAAACTGCATTCTTTTTTTATACTTTATTCGTCTCCTTGAAAATAATACAAATTTCATTATTCCCCTTTTTAGGAGGATCCAACCTAATCTACTCTTCAAAACCTTTAAATATAACAGATTCTACGGAGGGAAACATTGAGAAGGTAGGGAGGGACTGATCAGGATCAGGGAAACTGTGAACCACACCTGCCCATGTATTGACTGTTTATTTGCAATGCATTAAACAAACAAGCCTTTCCTTTCCCAATCCCATAAAGGGACTGTAAGCATAATTTCAAGTGATCCTCCATACCAAGAGGGCAAGGCCCGATTTACAACGGTACCCTTAAAACCTTTGTGCTTTCGTCCAATAGAGAGATATGTCGTAAAGTACAACATATCTAAGTACCAAATACCTAATATAATCTACTCACTTAAAGTCTAATTAGGGTATTCAAAATCAAATCGGTACAGAGAAATAACAATTTGCTTGAATCTGAGGCCTATGAAACCTGATATACGTTAAGTAGAAACATTTTTAATGAAATGAACCAGTACCTACAAATTCAATAATTTTCACATTAAATCTTTTGATTGCCAGAATTAAAGATTTTGACTGATTTGAAACTTAGGGTGCGAAAATAAAACCCTCTTCCTTTTTAAAACTAGAATATTTATTTTTATAGACACTTATTTCTTTTTTTTATTCCTGGAAGAAATGTCGTCGAAATTCTAAATTACCCTACACTAAAAAACGGTACCCTTTAACTCCTTTAACCCTTAATCTGATAAATAACATGGAAGATACTGTTGTTTTTCAAGCTTGAATAGTATTTAATCCTGATAATTTCTCCATTGTCAATAAAGCAAGAAATGCGCAAGTCACGTTTGCAGTGAAACCGCAAAACAAATATACAGTTTTCTGAAACAAAAACATGGATTTCTAATTCATACTTAGTTAGACAACGCTGTTAAAGGGAGTGGCCAGCAATGTATTGTAGTTGAACTGAGACTGTAGTATTGTGGAGACATTTTTTAGGAATCATTTGAGACCTATGAGACGTGTTTACGGTACATATTTGTACAGCAAGGTCGCAAATTCAATCTCTAAAATCCTCAATGATCGTTAAGTTTTAAGGGATGATATTCTCAGTTCATCTACCACCATTGCCTGATTAATTGTCTAGTGTTTACTAGTGGTGTAATACAGGATGAACTAATTACCTCTATATCTAGTAATAAACCTGATTATAATTGTCTAGTGTACTAGTGGTGTACCGCAGGATGAACTGAACACCTCTGTATCCAGTGATAAAACTGTTGTTTACAGGTAAAAAAGTTTTACATAATATACAGGGTGAGTAAAAAACGGTATTTTTGATATTTTATCAAAATTTTTCTTAATTTTTTATTTGTTTGGATTTTAAGCATTAAAAAAATATATGATCAAAAAATTTTTAAACATCGTAATAAAAGTCCGCAAAACCAAACAAAGATATAACAAAAAATCCGCAAAGATTTAAACTGGAAATCTGCAGTAAATGTTATCAAATCATAACCTTAAAACTGTTATGACTTCAAAAATGCAAATAATTTGCTTAGATTTTTTAGTTTTATCTTATTCGTTTAACGTTTTTGGATGCAAACAAACAAAGAAATAAATAAACAAGCTAAACATATAGATTTTATCTATTTGCGTGTTTGCCTTATCTAGCCTTTGTTGGCTAGTTTGTTTTTTAAATATTTCGGGTTTTTAAGTTTTGGAAATCCATGAAAGAATTACTATTATTATTATTATTATTATTATTATTATTATTATTATTATTATTATTATTATTATTATTATTATTATTATTATTATTATTATTATTATTATTATTATTATTATTATTATTATTATTATTATTATTATTATTATTATTATTATTATTATTATTATTATTATTATTATTATTATTATTATTATTATTATTATTATTATTATTATTATTATTATTATTATTATTATTATTATTATTATTATTATTATTATTATTATTATTATTATTATTATTATTATTATTATTATTATTATTATTATTATTATTATTATTATTATTATTATTATTATTATTATTATTATTATTATTATTATTATTATTATTATTATTATTATTATTATTATTATTATTATTATTATTATTATTATTATTATTATTATTATTATTATTATTATTATTATTATTATTATTATTATTATTATTATTATTATTATTATTATTATTATTATTATTATTATTATTATTATTATTATTATTATTATTATTATTATTATTATTATTATTATTATTATTATTATTATTATTATTATTATTATTATTATTATTATTATTATTATTATTATTATTATTATTATTATTATTATTATTATTATTATTATTATTATTATTATTATTATTATTATTATTATTATTATTATTATTATTATTATTATTATTATTATTATTATTATTATTATTATTATTATTATTATTATTATTATTATTATTATTATTATTATTATTATTATTATTATTATTATTATTATTATTATTATTATTATTATTATTATTATTATTATTATTATTATTATTATTATTATTATTATTATTATTATTATTATTATTATTATTATTATTATTATTATTATTATTATTATNACGACCGTAACAAAAACAAAAAATATTTTTTATTTTATTAAGTCTTCGGTATCAAATTGGTAAAAATAGCATCATTATAAATAGTAAAGCGGAAAGCCTCAGTCAATTCCGATTTTGTGTACTCACTTTGAGTTTGGCTTGTGGGTAAAGGACGTCCCTCACAGATCCATTTAGGTCATTTTACATTGAAACATTATTGCTGGAGTTTGATAAGTGTGCAACGTGCTTTGATATATTATATATATATTTTAGAGAAGATTCCTCGAATATTGAAGTAATGCTAACCGAGGCTATAATGGAGAATCAGAACTCGGTTCGTATCTTTTATCCACAGGATTAATTGCATTTCATCTTTTAAACTTTAAAAATCATTTATTTTATTCTCTGGTTTATAAAGAAGAATGGATTCATTTCATTTTAATTATATTAATTTTCAAAATTCCAAGAATAATAAACTCTTTGCTGGGTTCATACAGAAATAAAATATTTATCCAGTGGCCGAATTTAAAGAATTTGAGCGGCGGTTTAAATTTAAGCCGCGGTTTAAATATGGTTGGTTCCACTTAAAATTGTATCAAATTTTTCAAGATTTAAGCCGGCGCTTAATTTAAACCGGGTTTTGGCGGATTCAAACCTTGGCTCAAATTCTTTAAATTCCATCTCAGGTTCATTACTTAAATACATCCACAAATTATCTTCCTTAATAGTAATATGATCTCCGTTTTTAACAACCCTTTTACAGAGGGGGGGGGGGATTAATTATAAAAAAATCTGTAATTTTTAACAAAATTTAAAAAAAAATTTCAATACTTGACCCTTCATGAAAAGATGGCATTTCCCGATTTACACTGGTACCCTTTAAAACGTTATCTGCTTAGGCATGAATTGGATATCAATGTTTATAATTTAAAATCTGATTAATTTCAATTGTTGGTTCACTACAATAGTGACTCGCTCATTTCTATACTGCAGGAAAACATATGGCCGAATTAGATACCAATGTTTATAATTTTAAAACTGATTAATTTCAATCGTTGGTTCACTACAATAGTGACTCGCTCATTTCTATACTGCAGGAAAACATATGGCCGAATTAGATACCAATGTTTATAATTTTAAAACTGATTAATTTCAATCGTTGGTTCACTACAATAGTGACTCGCTCATTTCTATACTGCAGGAAAACATATGGCCGAATTATCAGAAATAAAACCCTCTAAACATAAAAAAGACAAAATCTTCCAATATTATTGATAAGTCGAAGGTTTTAGAAATTATTAGAATTTTACACTTTTAACCTAAAAAACGACTATATTCTACTTTATTTTTTAAACAAATATTTTAAGGGTTAAGTTGTAACTCGGGCATTGACAATTTAGCGTGAAGGGTCACTTGAATTTACGCTTACAGTCCCTTTAATGAACCCTTAATAACTGATATTTTCCAACCTTAATACTTGTTGCAGAGTATGCATAGTGGAAGCAGTGGTAGCTCTGATATAACTAAGTTTGAGTGCCCTAGCGAGACATCTTGCGACGAGTTGGATAATTATACTTCGACTAGTAGCGACGTAGAAGTTATCTCCAGTCCACTTAGTTCTAGGTGAAGATAAATTACTTACTTGATTACTTGATTACTTGATTACTTGATTTTTGAAGAAGTCACGTAAATACAGCCACGTGCATACTGCATAGCCATATTATTCGGATCATGGGTTTTATTGTACTTAAATCTCCGGATGGTCTCCATACACGTACTACTTGTGAACATACTGAAATTAAGCACTATTAAAATCATTATATTTGTTTTTCAGTTGATTAATTTTGACTACAGACTTTACTTCCATAGGAATAATATTCCATATTTTTGGTACTCTCACACCATAAGAATGTCTGCTTACATCAGTTCTTAACATGATTTTATTCCCAGCATGAGTTCGGATGGTGTACTATTTATTTATGCAACTACCTTTTGCAATGTTTTATCAACTTATGCGGGACAATATGTTTTTGCTGAGATTTTACCTTTTTGTTTGTTTAAGGTTGAAATTCAAGCTTTTTAGTCCCGACCGGTTCGATGTATTAACTATTTATAATACTGTTATTTTGGTTCGCAGTGTTTTTAAGTTTTTGTACAGAAACTTTCTCTTTATCGAGAAGGTTCAAGCCTTTTTTAGATTATATTTTGTCCCGAGCTTTAGCAAGGGATAAAATATAATCTAAATAGTCCAAAAACTTTATAGCACGTCGTGCCAAAATAATAGTCTTATGGGTTAATTTTATGAAACGTTTGTGTACTTGTCTTATTTCAATGGCTATTTCTAGATAAAATAAGTTTTAAAACATAGCAGAGGTCAAAATATAAAATTGATTTCAATTTAATTTTCATTTATATTGAAAAAAAATATTTTGGAAATATCCTAAATTTGTTGGAGAAAATCTGGGAACCAATCAAAACTTTATAGCACACGTGCTATAATATACAGCTAATTTAACATTACATTACGATGATTACTTTATTGATGAGAGCTTAACCTTGACTCCCATGGGATGATGGTTGACCATTTTATTTATTTATTTATTTATTGCACGCTCATTATGAAATTCACGATGAAGTGAGTAAGAATGACAAATTACACAATAGTTTTATAAAAAATAGCTTTAATAAAGGATACGTAATACACATCCCACCCTAAACTAAACTGTCGGTGCCTATTGCAGTAATCTGCTGTACTCCGGCTGAATACATAGTGGTTTTTAGTGGATAGTGATTCACTAACAAACTCAGCTTTTATATTTAAACTCTGTTAATCTCATTGCATATGAAAGAGTTTTTTTCTGGTCGGAATAAAATACTTTTTATTTTATATTGGTATCTTTACTCTCTAGTTCTGTTTTGGTTTCTGGTAAACAAAATTTCAATTAAAATTTTAAATGATTAAAGACAGAATATTTAACTTCTCTTTAAAAGTTTGTTCGGTAGCGAAATCATAACAAACAATGCGATATAAATAAACTAAAATATGGATGTATATATTTGTTTATTTTTATGTCTGATCATAACTTAAGTACCCCTTGACCGATTTTCGCCTCAAATTTAGATTGGGAAACTCTGTAGAACCATTGGTATGTTCTTAGCTTGATGATTTCTCTTAATGTAAAGTAGGTTGACTTTTTTAGAGAATTTTCGTTTTCAGGCAAAGCTAATAAGTCATAGATAAAGTAGTATAAACGATCATAACCTATCAACCCCTCGACCAATTTGCTTAAAATATAGAATGAGGAAATCAATGTTACCTCCAGATTAAGCCGAGTTCCCAAGCTAGTTATATAAAGTGATCTCTGATTGTGTGTTTGTATGTCCGATCATAACTCATTAACCACTGGACAGATATTAGCCTCAAATTGTGATTGGGGAATTCGGTAGAACCACGGGAATGTTCTTTGCTTGGTTTAAAAGTTATAAGTTGAGTTGGTCGAGTATAAGTTGAGTTGGTCGATATAAGTTGAGTTGGTCGAGTATAAGTTGAGTTTGTCGAGTATAAGTTGAGTTGGTCGAGTATAAGTTGAGTTGGTCGAGTATAAGTTGGTCGAGTATAAGTTGAGTTGGTCGAGTATAAGTTGAGTTGGTCGAGTATAAGTTGAGTTGGTCGAGTATAAGTTGAGTTGGTCGAGTATAAGTTGTGTTGAGTATGAGTATAAGTTGAGTTTGTCGAGTATAAGTTGAGTTGGTCGAGTATAAGTTGAGTTGGTCGAGTATAAGTTGAGTTAGTCGAGTATAAGTTGAGTTGGTCGAGTATAAGTTGAGTTTGTCGAGTATAAGTTGAGTTAGTCGAGTATAAGTTGAGTTGGTCGAGTATAAGTTGAGTTAGTTTCCCTGCATAGCTATGTTCGCAAGCAAGTGTATTAAACTTTTCTTTTCTTTAATAAATTCCTATTTGTTGAGGGGTTTACGACCAGACAGCGAGGCATCAAATCCTGGCTTTATTCAGCATAGATCACATTCAAGGTATCAACAATAAACATACATACAATGGTCGTATTCCACAGTTTTCTCGTTGTAGGATCCGGATGCTTATAAATATACGGATCCACGGATCCAAGTGCAACGATTTCAACCAAAACATTGTGAATATAAATACTCCATGCTTTTAAAACACACTTTTTATTCTCAAAAAATAAGTTATCAGTAAAAAAATCAAAGGAATTTTTTAAAAGTTGTTTACGGAACCATTTTTACAGAACCTATCCAAGATCCGGATCCTCACCAAAATGAAATTTATCCTAATTACTAATTCATAATCTAGAGGAACAAAGTTGAAACCAGAAAATTCACTAAAAAAAATTTAATTTAATTAAAATTGAATAAGTGAAATTGTTTCTGCTTGGTAGCACAACTAGGTCTAAAATAAAAATCTTGAAAACAGTGCAAACTGTGGTGTTGGATTTTAAATATTTTTTTTTGTTCAAACTCATATCAAACTGTTAAATTAGTTTTTTTTGTTTTGTTCATTATTTGCAAAAAATTAACAGATGTTTATATAAAGAGATTCTTCACCTATATGAAAATACGCATAATACAATAATTATCTCAGGATCATAACTAATAATGATTTTAACTAACAAAAATATTGTGTTGAAATTAGATAAACAACATTTTAAACGAGTCAAGGAAGTTCGTAGTAAGATTTTGACTCCACTGGAGACCACCGGAGGGAGTTCATTTTCACTGGAGGGGTTTGAAAAAATGCTTTTTACAATTTAAATTTTTACGCAAGGTGATTAACATTCCACTGGAGGGATTCAGATATAGTTCCAGGGAGTTTGTAAATCCACTGGAGGGATTCAGATATCCTTCTTAGGGGTTTATGATTCCACTGGAGGGATTCAGATTTCAGATACCTTTTCAGGGGGTTTATAATTCCAATGGAGGGATTCAGATATCCTTCCTGTGGGTTTATAATTCCAATGGAGGGATTCACATATCCTTTCTGGGGGTTTATACTTGCACTGGAGGGATTCAGATATCTTTCCTATGGGTTTATAATTCCACTGGAGGGATTCATTTATCCTTTCTAGGGGTTTATAATTCCACTGGAGGGATTCAGATATTCTTTCTGGGGGTTTATAATTCCACTGGGGGGATTCAGATATCTTTCCAGGGGGTTTATAATTCCACTGGAGGGATTCAGAAATCTTTCCAGGAGGTTTATAATTCCAGTGGAGGGATTCAGATATCCTTCCTGGGGGTTTATAATTCCACTGTAGGGATTCATATATCCTTTCTAAGGGTTTATAATTCCACTGGAGGGATTCAGATATTTTTCCAGGGGGTTTATAAATACACTGGAGGGATTCAAATATCCTTCCTAGGGGTTTTAATTTCACTGGAGGGATTCAGATACCTTTCCAGGAGTTTTTTAATTCCTCTGGAGGGATTCAGATATCCTTCATAAGGGTTTATAATTCCACTGGAGGGATTCAGATATCTTTCCTAGGGGTTTATAATTCCACTGGAGGGATTCAGTTATCCTTCCCAGGGGTTTATATTTCCACTGGAGGGATTCAGATATCTTTCCTAGGGGTTTATAATTCCACTGGAGGGATTCAGTTATCCTTTCTAGAGGCTTATAATTCCACTGGAGGGATTATAGACCCCCAGGAAGGATATCTGAATCCCTCCAGTGGAATTTTAAAACCCGTGGAAGGAAAACTGAATCCCTCCAGTGGAATTATAACCCCCCAGGAATGATATCTGAATCCCTTCAGTGGAATTATAATCCCCTAGGAAGGATAACTGATTCCCTCAAGTGGAATTACAGTTCCCAGGAAGGATATCTGAATCCCTCCATTGGAATTATAAACCCCCTGAAAAGGTAGCTGAAATCTGAATCCCTCCAGTGGAATCATAAACCCCTAAGAAGGATATCTGAATCCCTCCAGCGGATTTACAAACCCACTGGAAATATATCTGAATCCCAGTGGAATTATAAACCTCTAGGAAAGATATCTGAATCTCTCCAGTGGAATTATAAATACCCTGGAAAGATATCTGAATCCCTTAAGTGGATTTATAAACCCCCTCTGGAAAGATATCTGAATTCCTCCAGTGGAATTATAAACCCCTAGGAAAGATATCTGGATCCCTCCAGTGGAATTATATCCCCCCAGGAAGGATCTCTGAATCCCTCCAGTGGAATTATAAACCCCTAGGAGAGATATCTGAATCCCTCCAGTGAAATTATAAACCCCTAGGAGAGATATCTGAATCCATAACACCCCATGAAGGATAACTGAATCCCTCCAGTGGAATTGAAAACCCACAGGAAGGATATCTGAATCCCTCCTGTGGAATTACAAACCCCCAGGAAGGATAACTGAATCCCTCCAGTGGAAGTATAACCCCCCCTGGAAAGATATCTGAATCCCTCCAGTGGAATGTGAATCACCCTGCTTAAAGTTTTAAATTGTAAAAAGTATTTTTCAAACCCCTCCAGTGAAAATAAAACCCTCCAGTGGTCTCTAGAATCAAAATCTTACTACGAACTTCTTTGAGTCATTTTAAACCTCTTTATAATCTTAGATCGTTTTTAAACAAATCCCAAACCTACTCTCTAGCACTAGAATTATATCATTGGCATCATCAGGAGTTCGTCCTAAAGTATAACAGATATAAGCAAAAAATAAAAAATCTTAAGGTGTCATTTCACTTCCGATCTCATCTTTTTTATGTTTAGATTTTTATAAAAGAATGATATAAAATATAAATATCATGTTCAAGAAACGTGGTTGAGTTTTTTCATTTTCTTAAATATTTTATGTTATTCTTTATGTTTTATAATTTATTTTTATAATTTTTATAAATTTAAATGGTACAAGTCAAAGTAAAATGTTTATATTTTTCTCCTTTCACTATCTGCACCTTCGCAGGTTCTCTTTTTCTTAATTCCCTTTTCCTGTCCATTTATGGCGCTGCTTTTGAAAGAAATATTTTATATTATAAATATTTTGTAGGAATAAGTCTGACGAGAGCCTGGAGGAGATAGATAAACTAAAGAACCTGCAGAGAACCCTGGACACACAGAAAACAGAGCTTATCGAGCTGAGGTAGTAAATATCGGTGTAATGTATTTTCCCAAAGGAATGATTTTTCAGGTGACAATTTTCAAAGTGGCAACTTCCAAAATGTTCAATTTCCTAAGTGGCAACTTCCAAATGTTCAATTTCCTAAGTGGCAACTTCCCAAATGTTCAATTTCCTAAGTGGCAACTTCCAAAAGGTTATGCTAGGCCTTCTGAGGGGCCGCAATAAAACATTAGAAACCTTTATAAACACGATCGTTCGTTATTGGATTGTTTTTTGGGTCGTTTTTGTTCGTTTATTGCCTGTTTGTCAGGGTCAAAATTTAGCATAATGCAAAAAAAATCGCAAAATTTTGAAATCAATTGTTTGGCTTGCACTCTGAAAGAAAATAAGGCAAAAAACGTCCTGGTTCGTTTAAAAAAGCTGTATTCTGTTTGTTGTCAATTACTAAACTTTACATTATCTTTATCCTAAAAAAAGAAATAACATCAAAAATGATTTTCATAACACATTCGTTTTTGCATAGTTTTATTTTGCATACATCTTCTGGCGTTTGGCATAGTGTAAGAACAGCACATGAATAATTTTGTTTTCTTACACTATGCCAAATTTTGAACCTGATAAAAAATATAAGGAACAAACTTATGAAAAACGAACAAACTGCTTGCGCCAAATATGATTAATGTTCAGAAAGAAGAACGGTGACTTGAATGAATTGGTGCAAGCTAGGGAGGCAAAAATACTGGCAATATCTAGGTAACCATTGGAATATATTTTCTTGAAAATTCATTCATGGATTTGCAAATTCCATGTTAAATTTTTAAATTATCTTATTTTGAGATAGAGTTATAGTACTTGATTTCATTCTTGAGAAAATCTGAAATTTGAACTAAATTTCTCCCCTAATAAAAGTATAAAGTACATATTTTATAAAAAAAATATCATTCAAATAAGAAATTACACAAACTTTTGCATCAAGTTAAGACTGTTGTAACTCGTAATTTTAATTACGGCATGGCGTCGGAGGCTTTCATTTTAGGTACAAACAACCTTGGTTAAATTACGACAACAACGTAAATTGGATAATTGATGCAAAAAGAAATGCTTTGAAATAATTGTTTTGATTATAAATATTTCGTAAGAATTCTAATAATCATCTGTTCAGAGAAATATCTCAAGTTCAAGAAGAATCTGGACAGATGTCTGTTCGGTTAGAAGCTGCTTTAAAGGAAGCTGACAGGTTTAGGGAGAAAGAGCAACAGCTACTCATTTCTGTGGAAAGGTGACAAATTTAGCTGCAAACGCGTTTTTTAATAATCAAATAATAATAATATCGCTCTTATTATATATTGCTCTTTTTTCTAATTCAAAATCAACCAGTCCTTTGAGTTTTCATTTATAAAATAAACTGATTATTCTCATTATACTATTTATTTTTTAATTATTATATATTTTAACCTTACAATATTTGTTAAATTATTAACTTTTAGTTATGCTAGATCAAAAGGTGAAATCAGATAGTTTGTACATTGCACAATCAGATTGCAAAGAAAATCCATTGTAAAATCACAGTTTGAGTTCCTTTGCGCAAAGTTCTTACAAAAAGTTCAATGATATTATTTGTTTAAATATCTGCTCCTGGTTTAGTATGAAAGATGAAATGAAGACCTGGAGAAAGGAGAAGCTGGACCTTGAGAACCAGGTTCTCAAGCTCAACAAGCAGGTCAAGGAGAAAAAAGGGGATGATGATGAAAAGGATGAAATTATTGCAGGAATAGAATCTTAGTTTAATTTTCTCAAAAAAAAGTTTGTTTGTTTGGAATTTTTCTATTGCGATTGTTTAGTGTTTAAGGGTTTTAATTGATCTGAAAGGGTCGTTATCTGGCAGCACATTCATCCGTCCACGCTTCATTTATTCTAAGAACAGGGTTGACTAGAATCCAGCTTCCTAAGTGCTGTTTAGGTTTGAGAACAGTAGACCTTCTCTATCTATCCTCTTAAAGCAAATCAAACTAAAAATAACTAAAATTTTCATTCCTACAGACTTACGAAGCGAAGGAGAAACACTGGCTCGACAGAACGGAAAACAAGCTGAAATTATCAGAAAATTAAGGTTAAATTTTGACATTAAATATAAACACAGCATACTCCACTTCAAAGATTTAACTTTTATCCGACATATTTTATTTTAATTCTAATTTAGCAACTTCAGAAATTTTAATCTAACTTCAAACTTCAAAAAGGATTTAAATTAATGTCTATTAAATACAAGGGGAAAAGTACGCGTATCATAGAAAAATGTTGTTAGTCAAGTTTTAATGTAAAATTGTTTTTGGATTGAATAATGCATTGACCAATTACTGATAGGTTGATATTTTACTGACTGATTGAATGTTAAATTGGTTGAATAACCCTATTCATACTGGCGTTTACTAGCCTAAAATACCTTTGGGGGGGGGGGGCAAGAACCCGGCCTCCCTGCATTTCCTTTCCTATATGTGATACTAATTTCATCCGTTTTTAAAAATCGTTTGGACACTACACTGCAGAAAATGTTGTATCTTTATTTCAAAGATCCAAATATTATTACAAAATTCAGTTAAGCAATAAATTTGCGATTATGAAAAACTGCACATTTATAAAATATCTTTGTGTCATGACCCAATAAATTCAAATCTTGAAAAAAAAAATGCAAAATTCATAAGATAAAAATTGTTTTCTAAGCCCCCTGGCATAAGGTTGTGCAAAATTTCTATTAAATATACTTGTGCCATAATGTGCAATGTGCTTCCTTTTTTCATAAGCTTTCTAAAAAAGATTAAATGTTAATAATCTAATGACTGCAGGTGGGTTTTTTTTTAGATTTAGTCTGGTGATGGAATAAGGCATGGGGGATTTTTGTGGGGAAATAAATGTGTTTTTGCGTAAAACCTTTAGAAGGGTGAAAAACTTGCTTTATGATTTTCAATTTTTTGTCTTGTGTATTCCCCCAGGACTGTGGATCTTAGAGACAAGCCCATCAACCTAACAGGGATAAAGTTAACTTATATTAAGGGGTAAAGAGAAGACAGTTGAGAATGAGAATAAGAAGATCTCTGCTGAACTAGAGAAAATGAGATTAGAAAATGAGAAATTAACCAAGGAAAAAACAAAAAAATCACTTTCTGATATTGCTCACTAAATTGTCTACAAAATTGTATTGTTCCCATAGGCTGAAACGTAATTTAGGTCTAGAATCAAATCTGCAAGTGATTGTGTATACATGCACTAAACATTTTCAAGAATTGGAATGACTTTCAAAGTATTTTTGGATGGGACAGTAAAAGAATGGAGCTTTTTTTTGATATTCTTAATTTTCTGAAGTTATTTAACAAAGAGTAAAGTTTACTTTGTTTTGTGTTGGGTAGAACTTATCTAGCAAGGAGGAAAGCTTGATATCTCTGAATAAAACAATGAAATCTCTGACAGAAGCTAACCAGGTCAGTTTAATACTCTTAAATTCTATTCGATTAAAAATAGGGACTATTAACGTTACTTCTAAGTGAACCTTAATTTCTAGTGTGTCAGTTATGAGTACGTCTCTTCTAGTATTAAGATTTTCCTGAAAATTTAGTTTTATTTGACACTCCTGACAATTATTTCAGGAAAAGACAACAATTGTCAGATATTTTTTTAATTGGTAGTATTGTAAAATCAAATTGTTTTTATCCAAATTTAACCATTCAAAGAGAATGTTCAAAAAGTTGGATTGCGTAGTAATATTAAGATCCCCCTGCATTATTTAGAGTCTTTGGAATTACTTTTTACATAACTAAATTTTCAGATAAAAATCTAATGTTAATTTTACCTTAGAGTTTACCACAAAACACGACAGTTGAATATCATCTTTGATCTTAGATCGTTGTTGTCTTTGATCTTAGATCTTTGTCAAGATCAAATTCTTTATAACCACAGTAATTTTTGAAGCACAAAAAAGATGCACCACATTTTGGAATTGCAGAGACTAAGGTAATTTTGTGATAATAAATTCAAGAACTCTACTACCAAAATTGGTCTCTAAATGAATGTGGAAAATTATATTAAAGATCAAAGACAACCTTCAAGTTGTCCTTTTCTGTCATGTTTGTGGGGCTGCCAACAAATCCCCTCTTGATTTTAATCAAACACTCCCTTTAAAACAACAGACTGTACAATAATTCTAACAAATGAATTATCTTGCAGGGATGGGAAAATGAAAACAAGGGAATCAAGAATGAGTTAGAAGACAATATAGAAAAGGTGTTAGGTCTCAGGTATGTCTTATTTGGTCAAAGGAACTGCATTATTTTTTAAATCTATTTAGATTGCCATTATTTTATTAACAAATCATCCCTTTGGTTTTTTTAAAAAGTGATGTTTTTTATCTTATATTCTAATAAAAAGCTATTTTATTAAGGGAGCCAATCATGAAATGAAATGAAAGAAAGATTGTGGTAGCCCCCCAATTTGGGATCCTCGAGACTGCCATCAGATGTTAAGGGCATCGCAGTGCCCAAAACATGTTCACATGGTGCCCTACTTTCCCTACCCCTATGACCGGGACAATTCAAAGCAAAGCAAGGTGCTACCGGAAGCAGGCTAGTCACTCAACTGGGTGACAATTGTATACCCTACAATCAAGGGAGGTGTCAAGCAAAAGCTACCTGGAGTATTAGAGTGATTCAATCAATTTATTCCACAGTTCTAAGACGACATACATAATTTATACAATGCAAAAATTTTTGCTTTAACAAAAGAAACAATATGGAAAGGAATAAAGCAAAAGGACATATAAAGGAATATTTTGTCTTATTTATTCTTTTTTCCATGACATATTCTGTTAGAGTAAAGATTTTGTATATCTTTGATACCGAATTATCGGATCAGAGATAGGAGAAAACTAGTTCTAAAAACGAGTATACTGAAGTATTATAAATTAATATTTTCATTATAATACAGGGGCAAAACTAATATATTTGATATTGTTTAAACTCTGATTGTAAACTCTTGTTTATTTCAAGTACCGGGCCTACTTTACAGCAGCTAGAGCAAGCTGTAAAGTAGAAATACAGACTATATCAGGCAAAACGGGACAATGCGCCAAATAAAGGATCCAGATCTAGGGAAATCGTTGTGAGCTGTAAACCAAATAATTCGTTACTCTTGAGATTGTTTCCCTAAGGTACCTTAAAAAAACTTTGAGATTTTGTCGTACAATGAATGTATCTTAAAAACCTACATTTGACTAGTGCGAACCTAGTTGTGAATATTTCTATTTTCAGTATTATGTTCTGGTTAATCATCTTCTCCGTAGCATATGCAGGTAGGGCCTTTATCTACACTGTGCTCGGTATATATATCAATACAGTATCCAGTACTGAAATATGGTGATATATTACAGAGGCTTATGTACTTTTCAGTACAGTATCCGGTACTGAAATATCGTGATATATTACAGAGGTTTACGTACTTCTCAGTACAGTATCCGGTACTGAAATATAGAATTCAGTCGAGAGAGCTGGGATAGAGCTCTGAGTTCTTTCATTCCAGGATCATATGTGCTTCTGACTACAGAATGGACAATATTAGTATACTTTGCCCAGGGCATTAGGTCTTCTATTTCCCAGCCCTGAGTCTCCTGCTCTGACTCTGTTCAGAATTTCTGCACGATCATCTACATGATCTTGAACCTGAAAACACTTTTGTGGTTGTGTCAAGAAAGTTAGCCACAGCCATATCCAGTAAGCTTCTCTTGAGCAACCTCTGGGGCCATTGAACAGACCTCATCCCACTACTACTCTTAAGGCACTTACTTGGACAGCCCAATTGTTGTGAGGAGACCTCATTACAGCATAAAACACTGATTTGAGGATTTGGTCCTTCTTCTTCTTCTGTATCTCCCAGATTTAGTTTCCTAGCTTTATGTTGACCCTATTCTTATAAGTATTAGTCCCGCATCTAAGGCTCCTCCTACCCTCGCCAAAGACTTTGGGAGTTGCAGAATATACCTGGCAACTATGTGCAGAATCTGGTCTAGCTTCTCTAATACTACCTTTGAGAGAACCATGGCTTCTGTATCATATAAGATAGCCGATACTGCACATCTCTCCCATAAGGTGTAGCTGCAATTGCTCGATCTAGTCCATATTTCTGTGCATCTGCCACCATCTGCTCTTCTCTGGCCTTGACCTGATTCCTTTGGGATATATTTCCCAACTAGCACCACTTCCAAGTTTGGATTATCGCTTGTTACCTTCTAGGATGTCCCTAATGGACCCAAAGTAATCAGTTTTTCAACTGCCAGCTTCATATCCATACCTGGCAGAAGTTATGTACAGGTTAACATTCTCTCCATACCTCTCCGTATAGTCCTTGAGAAGAGTACTAGGTCGTCAGCGAAGAACATGGCTAAGATTACTTGGCCACCAAAGTCAATCCCTTCATTCATTTAGTGTAAGACCTTTCCTAGTCCTGATATGTATAAAGAGAACAATAACGGTGACAGTACACACCCTTGTTTAACTCCTTTGGTGAACCAAAATGGAGCCAATTTATCCTCCTGCTACCCAAACCCTTACACAGTCATTGTACATACAGTACATTGACTGTATCAGAGACTTCACTTTGCCTCTGAATCCAATTTAATATAGAGTAATTCTCTATTCACTGAATCATACCCCTTTGCGCTATGTCACAAAAGACTAACAGGATGAAAACACAGAATGACATTGACCTTCCTGATATAAAACCATATTGGACTTCACCATAATATCCTTTAGCTTTACATACTTTGTCCATCCTTGCATGCATCACCTTTGTGATTATGCTCAGCATCACAATGATACTGTCAAGCCGGACCTGCATATTTCAGCATAGAGACGGTAACCTGGATTACTGGAAAAAAAATTGCTGGGAGATCACTTTTGTGACATTTTCAGTGAGTCAATATATCTTTTTTGTTTCTACTGATAGTGCATTAAGTTAAACCAGGGATCTTGGCGCCCCTGACACCTTCACCAGGGATCTCGTCGCCCCTGACACCTATGTCATACATATTCTAAAAACTAATCAATGAGGTGGCATTTTTAATGGCTATTGGCAAACTGTTCCATCTTTTAATAACTCTCAAGCTAAAGAAGTTTTTCCTAATATCTGAATTGCATAGTTTTGAGTTGCGGTTCATATTGCGTGTTGAAAATCTTGTTTCTCGTTGAGCTGTGTCTACAGACCTTGTAAACCATGTACCTTCTTTATCATTATCATGCTTATGGAGAATCTTCCTTGTCAACTCCTGGAACCCTTCGGGTAAGTTTGCTGATCATATCTGAGATCTCTTGTTCTGATACTGTATCGCATATCTTATTCTCATGTGACACAGGATTAGTTGGATTAACTATCCATTCCTTCCATCCATGTTTGTCTTTGGCAGCTAACTCAGTGGCGAGTGGCCTCCTGGCTTTTTTGTTGCAACTTGGCTACATGATTTTTTTGTGGCATTCACTAGGGCTTTTTGCAAGGCAACACATTTATCTTGTATACTCAGAGTTTCCCAATTTTCAAGCTCTTTCTCTGCTTCAGATCAGGTTTCAAACCGGTCTGCCGACGCAGCTACCGGACCTTTTCAGATTTATGTGCCCTTGTTAATCCAAAGGTTTAAAAACACATTCCAATATTCATCTATCTCAAGTTTATCTACTAAATGCTTGGAGGTTCTGTCTTCTAGTGCTAGGTCCAGTATAGACAGAGAGTTAGACGTTGATATAGTAAATAAATCTTAGAATCTTGTTTCATCTCTGTTTATGAGGGTAAGGTCATTTGCTTGGATATAAATACTTACTAGTTTACCATTCCAATTAATATCCTTTGTGTTGTTAGGAATTCCCTAGCCGTCATTCCCTTTATATCCATTAAAATCTGCAAATACACTACAGTATCCCTGCTCTTTCAGTGGATTGTATTTTGTCTGTATCATTGCAAAGAGTTCCTGGTTAGGTTAAGACAACTTAGGGGCCAAGCACTGAGGCCACATATGTCAAACCACCAACTGGTAGTCATTATAATGAGTTAGGTTAGGTTAAAACAACATATGGGCCAAGCGCTGTGGCCACATCTATCAAAACACCATCCATCACCCAACCAAATGGCAGTCTATATCTGGGCTGAGCCCTGCGGCCACGCTTAATGTCTGGCCCAATATAATGACCCAAAATTAATAGGAAGTTGCACAAAATTTAAATTGACCCAGAATTAAACTGACAAATGGAATAGTTTATTTACACAAATGGAGAATTGACCCAAAATAAACCGAAAACCCGAATAACTAAGTTACACAAACGAAGAAATAATGACCCAAAATTAAAAGGAAAAAACAGAATATGTAAGTTACAGTTTAAATTATAATAAGTATTATTAATTATTAGTAATTATTAATTATTTAATAATTAAGTTACACAAATGAAGAATTTAAATTGACCCACAATTAAAACGAAACACAGCATAATTTAGTTACACAAACGAAGGATTAAGGGGGGTGGATTGGGGAAATGTGGTAGAAAAAGAAGTTATGCCTAAAAAGAAACTGAGGACCAAAATTTTTTTAAGAGTATTCCATTTTTCTTGACTCTTTTTCCTTCCCTTCCCTATCTTTTAAACAGCCATTCAATTTTATATGTTCAACCGTTTTATTTTAGTTATTCGACCATGTCTATTTTATTATCCTCTCGTTCTATTTATCTATTCGATAAGTTTTATTATCATAATTATCAAGAAATTTCATTTTATTTGTTCAACCCTATTATTTTATTCATCCAGGTGATTTTATTTATCCAGACGTTTTATTACATTTACAAGGCAATTTTATTTTAGTTTTCCATCAATTTCAACACAATTTTTTTCTATTATCTTAATAATACACTACACAGCCATTTTGTATACGTCATTTTACTTTATTTCTAATCATTTAATCTTATCCGGCCATATTGTTTTTAGATCTAGTTTGGAAGCAGCTTACAGAGAAATGGCGGAGATGAAGACAAAGTTGACCGAAGCTGCTGACGAGGCTAATACTGAGAGTTTAGCTGCTGAGAGGAAAGCTAGAAAAGATGCTGAACAGCTCCTGGTTGAAGAGCGGAAAACCTGGGAAATAGAGAAACTTGAATTAGAATCTAGAATAGCAAATATCCAGGTAGGTTGAAATATATTTTCATTTCACAAAACCAGAAAACAGTTTTTTATCATAATTTTAGCTGGTGATTTAGCAATTTCAACTCATGATATAAGTTGACACATATCAAAATCCCAGAAAGAACTAAGACGTTGTCTTGTTTTTGCTGTTCTTAGTGGTAATGCACCGACCATGTTTTCAAAAAGATAATTTCATGATTATTTTATGCTTCCTAAATCAAACAAGGAAATCTATTGGACAATATTAGATGTTTGTTTGTTGATATGTGTTTTGTTTTGATTTGAAAATTGAATACTTTTGGAGAAATTACTGTTATTATTGCATAGTCCTCCAAAAATTGTTATTTGAGAAAAGATTAGGTTTAATAGATTGCAAGAATGGCTAATTGAAATTGTGAAGTAAAGTGGTTCGACTATCTGCAGCTTGTTCAACTTTTTCTAAATATTGATAAAACCCATCACCAGGCCGCCCTGAGTTTAAGTGAGAATTCATCAAGTGTCCGTGAAGAAGCAAACAGAAGAGAACAGGAGGCTTTAAGGTGAAATTTGTTTTTATTCTATTTCTATGACTTTAAGGGACTGTAAGCATAATTTTGTAAAGTGACCCTCCATGCAAAGATGACATTGTCCGATTCACAAAAGCTTTGTCTGTTCGAATATTATTGAAATATGAATGTTCGTAATTTTGAAAACTGTTTATTTTCAATCAAGTGGTTTCACTTCAAAAGGGACTTGCGCATTTCTAGGATGCAGGAAAAGCATATTGGAATCATCAGGAAAGAAATACTTTCAGACCTCGGGAAACGAAAATATTTTACACATTATTGATAAGATATAGTTTTAAGGGTATGTTTGTAAATCAGGGAGGATCATTTAAAATTACTCATACAATTTCTTTAAGCATTTGTGTGAGGGGGGAAATAGATACAGTAGGACTAAATCTTTGGAATAAAAGACAACATTTAAACAATTATATTTGCTTTTAAAGTTGTTTTCAACAGTTGTTTTGTACAGTGAACAGTAATTGTACAGTGTAATTGAACAATGGGTTGTGTACACTGTGTGTAACACTTAACCTGTGAAAAATCTACTTACGGGTTGTGGCCCTTTTACTAAGTGCTTTGGTATTTTTAAAAACTAATTAAATTTTACAAAATACATGTATTAAAAATCTCGAATAACACACTAATATTTGTAAATCGATATTTAATGTCTAGAATGCGACTTGAGGCGAGTGAGAACAGACATGAAGATTTAGCAGAGAGTATTAGTCAAGCTAGCAAACCCATTCTTAGACAGGTAAACTGTTTGGAGAATTCCTATTATTCTTATCAACGCTTGGAACTTTTGTTTTTGTACTCATAATTCCGATCGCTTAATCTCGATAATTATTTGAGGATCAGTGCTTAATCTCATTATTTCAGTTATTTCTCCAGAGTCTGATTACCATGCGGTATATCGAGTTAATGCAACAAAATCAAACATTGATCTCAATATAATACACAAGTTCCCGGCTCAGCTGGAAACTAGACCAAGAAGTAAAAATTAATAATAAAAAATAACTAAATCATAACACAACACATGCTTTAGGTCGAATGAAACGTGTTCGAATACATAATGAAACTTTATCCTATATTGGATTAGAAATTTGTTAAAAGAAAATATTATTTGAATTCTGTTTAAAACTGCTACTTACTTGGGCATTTTTGAACAAGAGAAACGTGCCTTTTAAACTAGTCAAGACTGGGGGGGGGGGGGGAGTCTGCCAGGCGTCACAAAATGATGTTTACTTGATCTTATAACGACGTATTTTTGGTTGGTGATTTTTTTTACTTGTTGGTCCTTTAAAGTTGTGGTTGTTAAAACTCTTCTGTTGCGTAGTTCAGCACTTTCATTGGCTTAAATAAAGTTTGTTAATATCTATTACTAAACTATACATACAGCTGGTTCAAATCTTAAATCACCGATCCTAAGCTAAAGATTCATGAGGATTTGAATCGGCAATTAAAGAATTGAACTGGCTTTGTGATAGGTAGTTGAGCGACTCTTCCATTTCATTCAATTCGGTCCCTAAGCTCCTATTGGTTCTTAAAGCACTGAGTTGGTTTAAGATACACAGAAACATAAACTTGAAATAATAGTTTACTCCGATTAAAGTTAAACCGCATTAAAAAACTCAGTATCTGGTTTAGGTTGAGAGCCTACAGTCTGCTTTGAAACAGTGCCAGGATAACTCTGATAGGATTGAGTTAAGTCTCACGGAAAGGTTGAGATTGGCAACAACCAACCTAGCCGCTGCACAGGTATAGGACATAGATAGGACATTTTAAAGATAGTACATTCCTTAAAAAGACATTTCATTGACAGGACATTTCGTAGACAGGACATTTCATCATAGACAGGCCATTTATCATAGACAGGACATTTATCATAGACAGGACATTTTATCATATACAGGACATTTTATCAGAGACAAGATATTCCATAGATAAGACATTCCATGGATAGATCATTTCATAGACAGGATATTTCATAGACAAGATATTTCATAGACAGGATATTTCATAGACAGGATATTTCATAGACAGGATATTTCATTAACCGGATATTTCTTTGGCAGGATATTTCATAGAAAGGAAATTTCATTAACAGAGAACAATTTTCAGAGATAATGTAAATTATTTGTTCAAAGTAATCTAGTATTTAAGAAATCAAATATCGGTTATTTTTAACATAAAAAATTCGATTATTTTTAGTACGATTTAACAGAATTTTACTTCATTAATTGATTTGTGCTATATTTTTAGTATTAGGAGATTCGTCTTGAATTAAGCAATCGACAACTTCCAAGGGTTCTCTTAAAACCTTACATTAAACATCGAAGCTTGAGATATTTTTGGTTTTCTATACAATAATATTCGAAAATATTCGTCAGTTTTTGGACACAGTCCGTGTCCAAAATTGATTATCTTTCAGGAGTTCCCTCAAGAATAGTAAAATTTAATATTTTTAATAATAGATTACTTAAGGTTTCATCGATAATCTGTTTAAGGAGCGTGAAAGATCAGTAGCTGAGCAGTACAGAGTAGTTTCTGCTCAGTTGGCCGCCTTACAATCACAAGCAGACCAAACCTTGCAATACAGGTATTTAACCCATTCAAATTTCATTAAGTCAAAGCACAGCCACCCCTTTCTTTAAATCATGTTTTAAACATCTTGTATACATCCTGTATACCGGCACCAGAATTAAACTTTAAATCTTTCCATCTAAAAGTTCACTCTGTGGGTAATGATATCTTGTCCAGTTGATGTGGCTTAGCGTTATCACAACCAAAAGTTTTAGTCTAACTTTGAAAAATTAATTACCAGTGGGGCTCAAATTTTCAAGTTTTAAAAATAGGCAGGAAAAAAGCCCTGTAATGAACAAATTACTGTTATTTATTTTTTTGCCATCAAAATGTGCCATATAAACATTTTTGTTGTTTTACTAGACAACAGTACGAAGCACGTATCGAAGATCTTGAAAGTAAACTTGACTCCGCGATGCAACAGCATGAAAAAGAGAAGGTTAAAGCAGAAGTGCAAGTATTAAAGCTTAAAGAAGAATTGATCGAGCTAAGGTATATTTTAAAGATTTTATTTACTTACTGTCAACAATTTATTAGTTTTCTTATTAAAGGAACCAGTGCTTAGGATCCATTTCATTTTGATCCAGGATCCAGGTCTTGACTCTTAACCATTTCTTCAAGATTCGCTGATTTTTTTAACATCTATACTTTGCTTGTTTGTTTGTTTGCTTTTTTGGTTTCTTTGTATACAATAAACGTCAAAACGGCTGAACCGACCGGGCCCATTATTTTTTGTAAAACTTCACGTGACCCCAGGAAATGTTTATCGATGATCAAATTTTTGAAAATTTGCCTCTAACCCATTTGATTTTTGTTTTGAAAAAAGAAAAGAAATTTAATTTATTCAGAGAGAAAATGTGCACAATTGAAATCCTAGTATTAAAAAAATTTCAAACATATTTTTCACCTTCTTCTTTTATTTTTCTGTTGAAATTTTGTAAACTATTCAGAAATTTGGAAATTTTTGTTAATTTAGTAATAGTATTAGTTAGAATATTATTAATTTAGGATTAGTTAACAATTTTAATTTGTATTTGAAGAACATCTTTTTTTATGTTGGTTGATATTTGCCCCTTGGATCCGGGTCCGAGGATCCGGATCCAGAGCTGGGAACTTAAGAATGGTGGATATCAGGATTAATGCCTAATCCTCTGTTTTTGCTAATCTCGAGACTAACATAATCTCAAGATTATGTTTGTCTCGAGACTATATATTTAGATCAACAAATTCTAGATTGGTTCGATTTCTTGACTGAAAGGGCCCTTACTTAATTTCTCACCCATTTATTTATTAATACATTAGTTAAAATTGGGTACAAAAGAATCTCAAACGTATTATAAAATATTTTTCTTCGCCGATTAATTTACAAAATGGCCGACACCAAATTCTTTATTTGTTAGAAATTGCGGATTTCTCTCATGGGATAAAATTTATTTTCAAAGCTGTCATAGGTCAATACAATTTACTAACTATATTCCTGCACTCTCATTGAAGAAAATAATGTACGGATATCCAAAGAGAGAGAAAAAGAATGGATTAAGGACTAAAATTAAAAGTTTCCACAGTGGATATTCGGATTAAGTAATTGGGATTAAAGGTTATCCATTCTAAAGTTCCCAGCTCAGCTCAGGAAGCTTTGTTGCGGATCCTAAGTATTGGAAGGAACTGTAATCCCGGTTTCTGTTAAGTCACCCTGTAATAATCTGTATGTATATTTGGTCACGGAAGGTATCAATAATACATTGAACACTGAACATTCCCTTAAGTTTTTGAAATTTTCAAGTTAAAACTAATCATGAAATTGAATTCAATTATCTTGAAAGTTGAATGTTTGTTTAACGTATTTTATTACTGGAAAATAATATTTCGTAAGATAACCCATTAAGAGGCCCCAATATGAAATGGAATTATTAAACCTTCATATTTGATGTGTCTCATTTTCCATTTCACCAATAGTCTCTCATAATTTTACTAAAAACAGCTTTTGTTTTTATATTTAGGCGGGAAAGGGAGTTCCTATCTGTAAGTTTGGAAAGTGAGAAAGCGGAAGGAGAAAGCAGAAGGAAAAAGTCTCTAGCACTCATGGAACAGCTTAAGGTGAAGTAACTTTGTTATCCCAATTAACCACATGAATCTTTACATAACCAATCATTATTGTTTAAAAATAAAATGAGAATATCTGGGTAGTTTGGTTTGAATGTCGAAATAAATGTCTCAAATTCGAAGACAGAATTCCGAACTTGTCTTCATTAAATGGTGCTAATGAAAAACATCCAAAATCCAACAATGCTGTTGAAACCCTTCGTTATAGCCAGAGCAGGTGCGCAGAGAGTGGTTAATTGAGTTAATTGAACAGAAACATTGAAAAGTAGAAGTTTTGGAATCAAATTCATTTTATGGGGATATATGAAGAATAGAGAAAAATTGCTGGGTTTTAAATATTTATATCTTACTCATTTCAGGAGAGAGATCGTCGTGTTCGTGAATTGCAGAGTGATCTAGACACAAGGATCGTTCAAGAAGATTCTATTCGTATTTCTCCAACCCCTTCCCTCTCACAGCTTTCTTTATCAGGATCAGATATACTACCCAGGTATCCCCCCTCCCTCTCACAACTTTCTATATCAGAACCAGATATGCTACCGAGGTATTCTTCCCCCTTTTAAAAAAAGCCAATCCATTTTCACACCTATNCTCCCTCTCACAGCTCTCTTTATCAGGATCAGATATACTACCCAGGTATTCTTCCCCCTTCCCTCTCACAGCTTTCTATATCAGAACCAGATATATTACCCAGGTATCCCCCCTCCCTCTCACAACTTCCTATATCAGAACCAGATATACTACCCAGGTATCCCCCCTCCCTCTCACAACTTTCTATATCAGAACCAGATATGCTACCGAGGTATTCTTCCCCCTTTTAAAAAAAGCCAATCCATTTTCACACCTATAAAAACTCTTATCCCCATTTCCATCCGATGCGATGCACAACAGTACCCTTAAACCCTTTGATTTATCAGGGATGTTGGAAATATTATTAATTTACTAAAAGGCTTGTAATTCTTGAACACTTTGTTGAACACTGTTTTATATTTAAGAGAAATAAATAATTATTTTCAAATTATTGTCTAAGGGACACAAGTAACGTCAGCTCAGTTAAATTCACACTATACGCTAGTGTACACTCCGGTTTACTGGAGTTCGAACAATATTCAAGAAATATATACACAGAGTTCTCTGTTCTCGATGAAATGTCAAAAGGTTTAAAGGGTATAGTTGTAAATCGGCATTTTTAGTTTTTCATGAAGGGTCACTTAGCTTATTTACAAGAAAAAGATTATTTGTGTTGCTATGGATTTGTTTATTGATAATTGAAAACAAGTAAATTATGAATTCATTAGAAAATACATATTCAAGATTAAACTGAAGGTAAAATACGTAAAAAATATTTACAATATAAACTATTTTCTATACTCACCAAACAACTACAAAAGATTAAATTGACTGAGTATTTCTTGAACCATTTTCAAATATCTTGTTTTCATCTAATATCTCAAATTAAAAAATGATCTAAATGTCAAGTAAACGTAAAAGTTTTGATTTACGTGATATTTAATATCAATTTGTTTGGTTATTAAAGAAACGATAACAAAAAATAAGTTAAATGACTTAGATGACCTATTTACTAAATAAAAAATCTTAGAGATATCCTCGTTTTTCTATTTGGGAAAGTGACTTTTTAAATAATTTAAGGATTGACCGCGATTATTATTAATATGCAGCAAAGACAGAAAAGGACATAGCTATATTATCTCTTTTCATGCGACGATCTTATTTTCAATGCTACTCAAATTAAAGTTTATGGATAGCCTTGTAAATCTGTCATGTAACTATGGAAATGCATGATCCCTTGAATTTGATCCCTTGTGATCCCTTGGTCACTGGTTGGTGGTTAATAACTTTACTTATTGATGGATATTAAACTGACTTATCAACTACTTTTAATTTCAAAAGTCTCAGGACTGCTTAAACTGAGCGAGGGCTTCCTGATGTTACCGACATATTCTATTGACCCAAGGGGTAACCCACAAAGGATTAACCTTCAGAGACGACTGTACAGAACTTATACTAGCTGTTTCCTTATTTTTATTACTCTCTGCAATCGTAAACTTGTTTCTTTCTTTGCCTAATCATTGAATAAGCCAAAGATTGTGTTCAAGGTAGAAGACTTAATTTAACCTTGGAAGCGATGGATATAAAGAGTTTCGGGCTGTCACTATAGTCTAATCTTAATTGTGGGTACATGCGATATTGTATAATTTATTTGTTAGGGACTCGTGGCCTGATGATGTATTCCACCTGGGACATTACACTTCATCTTCAGTATCACTTTATGATTCTGTGAAACATGGGAACACAACAGCAGTTGTAGAGAGTCTTCAGGCACAGCTAAAGATAAAGGAAGGTAGGACAATACTGCTAGATATGCCGCGTGATATATTTTCAAGTTTTCCCGCCATATTTATCTTTTCGATTCATGGATGAAAAGTCTATATCTGGGTGTCTTTTCTTTTTTTTTTTTTGATTTGTTTTTAATTTTTTCTAAAAAATAAGATCAAAAGTAATTTCCCATTTTTTCGGTTTTCCAGTACTCTAGATTTTTTTATGTCCTTTTTGTTGCTTTGTTTTTTTTTCCTCTCTTTTATTCATATAGATGTATAGATGAAAAGTCATTCAGTTGCAACAACGTTTGCAATATATAATACTAAATAATTTTTAAAATACATACTGCAGTTCTGTTCTGTTCATGTTCACATTTCAATTTAAAGATGAAAAGTCTGCAACTACGCTTGCAAATTATTTTGATCAAATCTTAATTAATGGAGAGCTCTGCGAAAAGCAGCTCGGTACGGCAATAGGTAGAACGAGACGTTTTTCTCTATGATTCTATAAATGAAAAATACTATTGTCGATTTGTTTTGTATTGAATAAAGTTGTTAAGAAGAAGAATATTTAAGGGGTTTTATTTGAAGCGTTGAAATGCGTTGACTGCTGTAAATTCTTGTTTAAAATAAATGTTTATTGTTTTGTGCATTTAATTTCTTCAAAAAGACGTAAATTATCTAAGTTCGCATTGAATATGATGTTTAGGAGAAGTTAACCAGCTTCAGCATCAGATCATACAGTCAGAGAGGATAAAGGAGAGTTTATCTACTGAGTTAACTATAATTTCAGAGAAAGCTGACTTGGTAAATCTATGAATATACATACTCTATTAACTTTCAAGTTCTGTAGACCCCCTTCTTTTGTTTTTATCAGCCTATTTGTTTTATAAAATATTTGGTATATTGTTCTTCTTCCTCAAAATCCAAATTATAAAAGTATGAGATAATGGCTTAAACGTTACAGGATAGACTAAATCTGATTTGTACTTGTTACAAAATATTCGTTGTACGTTTTTAGAATGTTAAATTTCACTTTTTGGTTTCCTCCAAATAGCAAAAATATTTCGAGCTAAATATATTTAAACTAGACCAATTATTTTATGCCGGGATCAAATTTAATAAATTTGAGCAAGGTCGCTGAACAACCAACCGTCGATTCAATTGCTATATGTGATTGAATTGAAATTATAAAAATAACCAAGTTAACAATTCATATATATTTAGTGTGAGAAGTACGCAGAGGATATCCAGGATTTAAAAACAAGATTAAAGGAAGTAGAAGCGAAATATCAAACTATGCTCACGGTAGGAATAACATGGGTTGGTTGGTTGGTTGGTTGGTTGTTGGATAGTTAATTGGTTGCTTGGTTGGTTGGTTGGTTGTTGGATAGTTGATTGGTTGGTTGGTTGGTTGGTTGGTAAGAGCGGTAAAATCAATGCCAAGGGCGTTGCGACACTTCGAAGTCGACCCTGTCTTGAAAATTGATGCAATTTTTCTATTTCATAGCAGGCAGAACCTATGTAGGTGGTTGGTTGGTTGCATGGCTTCGTGGTTAGTTGGACTTTTGGTTGTTTGGTTGAGTTCACTTTGACTTTGACTTTGATATGATTCGATTGGTTTGGTTTTATTTGATTTGATTAGGTTTGATATGATTTGATTGGATGATTGATTGGTCGATTGTTTAGATGTATGGAGAGAAGGTGGAGGAGGCGGAGGAGTTGAAACTTGATCTTCTAGATGTAAAGGTACATTCAAATTAAAGTTTAAACCATGTGGTATTATAAAGCTTTTATTTATTACAATTATTTTTTGATTTCAGGAAATGTATAAGACACAGATTGATCAACTTCTCGGGAAATCCTCTAATTGATCGTCTCACCTTTAGCCAACAAATTGGTTAATTCTTCAATAATCCTTAGATTCGTTTAATAATAGTTCTGCTTGGGAGACGGCAAAATGTATTTAACAAATTTAGGATCTACCAACGCATTTTCTATTCCGAGATTTCCAGCAAATTTGAATTTAATCTTTTACTAATTTTAATTTGAACTTTATATATTTTAAACCAGATTATCTAAAGGTTGAGCCTTTCCCATCAACCAAACAATCAAATACAATATTCAATACATTCCTATGAAGTTTCTTTTTATTAATTCCAGTATTTTTAATTTTAAAACTAATGTGTCAACTGAAGTGTTTAGTCTTAACGACTCAATGTGTGTTTATACTTTGTTTAAATTTCGAATATTTGGCACTTTTTCATCCTCTATTTTGAACATAAATTTTTAAGTAAAATTTTATCTTGAATATTATTTTAAATGTAATTTTAATTTTATCGTGGACTAAGATTCTGTCCTTAGTTAATTCAAATGTCTATGAGTTGTGTTTTCTAAGAAATATTTGACAAAAAAGATTTATTTGTTCGGAGAGGGAGGAGGCCTTACCCCTCAGAGATTTGCCATACAATACCGAGTCGGCACTGTTTAGAACTTTTCTTCTAAAATTATAACATGTCTTATGCCAAAATTAATTCTTGTTCAGATGTAACAATGCTTTAAAACAATAACTGTGCATTAAGCGATATATTTATACCTCGACATAAAAATGTGTTATTTGAATCAAATATTTTAACAGATTACTTCAAATTCATTTTAGAACTTGTCCTTGACGTTTCTTCCTTTCTGCATAAGAAAAACATGAGAAAGGTTTATTATAAAAACGATTACTCTATAATGAAGGCGCGATACTAAATGGCAACTCTGGGGGGGGGGGGGCTCCTGGCGGCCAAGATGTCAATCCCTCGTTCAAATCCTCAATGCTTAAGATTTAATATACATCATCTGATTGAACAAGGGTAGGTTAATGAAAAATAAAGTTGTTCATATGAACTATTATTTCTGTGATATAATTTAACAAGATATATATAATATATGACACCGTTTTAGATTTGTCTGCAATTAAATTATATTTATGAAATTTTCATTTTCGAAATAAATATACTTATATTAAACTAGAGATTTTTTTTCTGGATCGTCTTCGTAGTGTAGTGTGAAGTCATCGAGCTAGGGAAGGCACAGTACACCAGTTTTTCGTCCGCATCACGAATAACGTCACAACTCAACATTATTTCTTCCGCGCACATTTTTCTTCGTCGCGTCGGCATTGCTTCTGTGCTTTCAAATGTATTTTTTATGCCTGTTAGTGTTAACACTTAATTTAAAATGTTATTTAATATGGCTTGATTTTGTTCAAAAAAAATTTTGTTTGAAAAATACAGTGATTTCTAGTATAGCAAAGAACGGAAAATGTGTGTGCCTTACCCATTTTTGTTCAACAACACACTTTTCTCAAATTACTCCTAATTTGCTACTTTTAGGTTATATTGGGCTGGACGTTTTAGAATCTGCAGCTATAATTTCCATTTTTTAGTAGGGAACATAGTAATTGGTTATGATGTGCTGGAGAGATTATGATACGCTTCAAGTATTAGTTTTTAAACTTAAAAAGTGTTTTTTTTTATTGCTCACTGTGCCTTCATAAAATGTTCTTATTCTTCAAATTTCGATTTTAACAATTTTTAAGTACGTAAAAAAGAATTAAAACAATGCTGAACGAAAAAGTGGTCTAGTCGTATGAAATAATTTTGAATTTTGACGTCATTTGTGGTCGGACAAAGGAGGGAGGGAACCCCCGGACGCCATGAGCCTCCATCCCTGCAGACAAGAGCCTCCTAGATTTGCCTGGCAGACCGAGCCTCCGCTATGCAGTAACAAGCCTTCGCCATGCAGACCGAGCCTCCGCTATGCAGTAAACGAGCCTTCGCTAAACAGAAGTACTAATTTTAAAACTCTTGTTTCGTATGTATAATAAAATGTTTTTGACAATTCTGTCGACATGGTGGCATGAGAGGTTTCTCAAAAATGATAAGTTTTTATCAATTAGCATAAATAGCGCCTAATTATGACTAATAAAGTGGTATTTAAAACTTTAACATTTTACACGAAAAGGAAAATATTTAGAGAAAAAAAATTTTAATTGAATTTCATTTCATCTTTTATAATTTTTGATTTAAGCAATACCTTTTTTTGTAGTTAAAATTAAATCTAGAAAATTCGTATCATTTATTTAAATCTTAACATTTTTTAAAAAAAGGTATTGTTTAAATCAAAGATTATAACAAAACAAACTAAGTTTACTCCAGTAATATTTCTCCAAATATCTTACTTTCTGCGTAAGAAATGTTTAAAGTTTTAGTATAAATCTTATAAACCACTTTATGAGTTCATATATGTTTCTAATCATGACAATCAAAAAATATTTCTAATCTTCAGTAAAATTCTTATGCCACTACGCCAAAAAAATTGTTTAAACTTTTTATTACACATAAAAACCAAGATTTAAAAAAAGCTGTGCTGTAGAGTGGAGGCTCATTTACTGCATAGCAGAGACACGGTCTGCATAGCGGAGGCTTGGTCTGCATAGTTGAGGCTCGATCTGCCTAGCAAATCTGGGAGGCTCGTGTCTGCATAGTGGAGGCTCATGGCGTCCGGGGGTTCCTTCCCTCGACAAAGAAATAGTATGGGGTTCCTTCCCTCTCTCGGTCTAAGCGTAAAAGGACTCTAAGCGTAATTTTAAGTGGCCCCCGGCCCCATTGCACGAATTACAATGGGACCCTTTTAGGCTTGTTCATCGAGTAGAGAAAGCTCTGTGTAAACCTCTTCAATAGCGGTTGAATCGTTCTTATACCTGGCGCGTAAAGTGTGTACAAATGGGCACGTTCGATTTCTTTATTTCGTTCTTTCATCATTCGTGAACTACTCATTTCGTTTTTTGTTTCAATCGTTCAAAAAATTATTTTGTTCGTCCGCAAAACTATCGTTCATTTATCTATTTCGTTCGTATTCTCACTGAACGATCGTTTAATAAAATCGATCGTTCCGTAAAAACACGATCGTTTTTTCAAGAATTTGTTCTTAAAAACCGTTCGTTCAGCATAAAACTACCGTTATTTAAACAAAAAAATTTCATTTAAACATTCGTTCAGCAAAAAAATGTCTCGAATAAATCCTAAAAAGTGTCTCTACAATACTGCATTCTCAGCTCAACTACCAGGTCTAGTCGGTCACTCCCTTTTAACTATGTACATATGAATTTTTATACAAATATTCTGTCCAATTAAGAGAGTTAAAACTAACGATATATACTTAGGAGAAAAAAACTAGCGGGAGTCTCGACGACGTAATTCAGAATAAGAAATGCTATAACCTTATTTCTTTATTTAAAAGTTAATTCCACATTTGACATCCCAATCTTTTGGTGTATTTTTTGCCCTCAACCGTTTTTGCATATATATACATTATACATATGTATATATATATTTGTTTTGCTATGAAAATTTGTGTTTGCAGCGAAGACAAAACAGATATATTTTAATGTGTAATTTTAACGGGTGAAGGCAAGAAAAGATAATTAAAATTGCATTTCCAGCGGTTGAAGGCAAAAGAGTTTTCAAAATTGCGTAATTCCAGCGGTTTAGTATGAAATATTTATATTTATATTTATTTAAGGTATTATCAAGACATAAAATTTATTTTTTCATTTCTTATTCTAAACTACTGAGTGTTCCAATAAACATAGGAATTGAGAGACGAATATTGTCTTTGATTTCCGTTAATTGATAAATGACATAAAGTGCATCAAAAAAAGATTAAAAGTCTGATGAGATTTTCAAAATGTGGCCTACCTATTTGTATCTTTAAAATTACCGAGATATTAAACATTTTAACAGTTTAGTTGAGTTTTAATAAACTGGAATCTGAACAAATTTCCTACTATTTCTCCGTCAATTTTGCAGGTAAACAAAATGGTAGTTCACATTTTGAAAATCCCGAAACTAGCAGTTTTCGGTGGTAAATGTTTCAAGTGTTGTACTACAAAATAATGTTTACAAAACAATCACGCATGGAAAAAAGACGATATAGAAGTCATCATCTAATTCCCATGTTTTGGGACACCCTGTATGAGTCTAAGCTGTGTCTCAACTCTTCACATCCATTTAACCCCTCGACCGCTGGTTTTTTTCTCCAAAGAATATATCATTGAGTTGAAACCAGCATAAAAAGTTTATTTTGGATATAATTGTCTTAAGGATTATGCCACCCACACAATTCAAACTTGGAATTAAGTAAATCCGGTTTAGAATGAATGTTTGAATGTACAGTATGTATGTACAGGCATAAAAATACGCAGAAATTAGATCCGTTCATAACTAGATCAGAACATTTCTAAATCTGTAAAGAACTTTGACACTTAATTTAAAATGGACCTGATCGAAATCCTAGAAAACGACTAACTTTTTTACTCACCACTACCACCAAATTTAGTGCGGGATGCGTTTTTTTTCTTAAAATTGAAATAGAGGCTGAAATTATACATGCAACCTGAACAATTGAATTTAGAAAAAAATTAGCTTGGAGGTCATTGACCTCCATGAATCTATGAAAACATGAAACCGGAAATAATCCTACATTTTAAACCTTAGACCGAACTTTTGATCTTTTCAGGCCAGTTCCACTGTTTTCTGGTTCTCACTGTATTTCTAGCAACTATAATAAACATAAAGAATGTGTGACCTCTATAAGTTATATGACCTCCTCTACCTTCTGGTGGCCCCTTAATCAAGGTCTGGAAACACTGTTAAAAAGTGCTGTTTACCTTCTTTGCATCTTTAAAATTGATTGAGATATTAAACCTCTAAATAGTTATGTTTTCAATAAAAATGATATATGGTATCTATACAAATTTCTCCGCTAATTGTAAAGGTGCAAAAATGGTAGACCATAATTTTACACTGGGATTCTAATCAAGGTGTGTTAACAAAATTATGAAACAAAGACGATAAAGACGATTCTCATGTTTTTGAGACACTCTGCAGTAGACTATAAAACCAGGCATTTCCCCCATTTCTCTGGGATTAAGGAGAAAAATGACCTCCGATTCATCTAATTTTTAAATTCGTGTCGATGGCCAAATTTTGATGCTGTATGCAGCTTCAACCATTTTAAGGGCACTCAGCCTGTAAATTTTATAAGCCAATTGTCCCTTCCATGCATGGAAAATGGAAAGATAAAATCTGGGAACATTTTTTCAAATCCTGTAATATTACTTTCATCAAAAGAAAGTTTAATAGCCAATATTATAGTTAAAATTATTAGATTTTTATATTTAGATATTATTTTTTGGAGAGCACCTGCTAACTTTGTATTTGCATCAACCTCCCTGTAACAAGAATTTCAAGTGAACCTCCGTGCAAATATAGCAGTGCCAGGATCATTAGGGAACCATTTAACCTTTTTAAGATATTGTCGTTTTTCTAGGTTTAAAAGTGTTCAAATCGAATAATTTCTACAGGTTTTCCTGAAATAAAACTTCGCAACTATCTTTTGAAAAGAAAAAAAAATGGATTAAACTTTTTTATTTAATTCATGCCTAATCCGACAAAGCTTTTAAAGCATTGTGAATCTGGAATTGTTATCTTTGCACGAAGAATCCTTTGTATGTGTTAAATGTTAAATTGAAGGAAATTACCATTCATCAATCGTTCTGTACGACTAGGAATTTTTAAATTACGGGTTTCTCTTAATCTCATAAATCTCTCACAAATCTTTAAATAGCTGAATCTCCATCCATTTCTAGGAACTTTTAAAATCTGATTTTAATATCCAAAATAAGAATATTTTATAATGCACTAAGAAAATTTGCAAATTTTGATTTCACATAAGCTTTTTAAATCATGTACAGACCCCTGGCTTTAGACTTCTATTCACTTGAAAGTTGCTTGAAAGTTTTCACAACAGTGGCCATTTTCTTCTTTGTTAGTTGTGTTTATCTTCTTCTTTGTTAGTTGTGTTCATCTTCTTCTTTGTTAGTTGTGTTCATCTTCATCTTTGTTAGTTGTGTTCATCTTCTTCTTTGTTATTTGTGTTCATCTTCTTCGTTGTTAGTTGTGTTATACACAACTCAAACGCTTTCGAGAAACCCTCACATATGTCGCTTCGGGGACATTTAAAAAATACCAATTTCCTAATTAACTTAAGTCTTCTTTCTTAAATTGCAGCAGAATCACGTCAGCTAGGGAAGGGTTGGAGGGCCGTTATTAACCCACGAAATGGTCTCCACTGTCCAATGGTCTGCAGAGTGACCTCCAATACTGCTAACAAGCTCCAAAATAATCTCCAAACTTAGCAACCTGGCTCCACCTGTTGATTTATAACTTTCAGTCTACAGATAAAAAAGAAAATAATTGTAGTTTTAAGGAATTTGTCCCGTTGGGGACTTTTAAAGGAATTTGTCCCGTTGGGGACTAAATCCTCCCTAAGAATCATTCCAGAAAACAATAAAAAAAACTGAAATTCGTACAATAATCTATTCTGTGCTATAAATGTGAAGTGTTATTTGATTATTTCTTGGGGCTCAGGGCTTGTTTTGGGGCTGCACTGGTTTGAAGGTCATTTCCACTAACTCTGCGGTTTGGAGACCATTTTGTGGGGTTCATTGCGGCTCTGCACAATCTCTGAACAATCATCATATCATCTGTTTAAAAAAATCTGAGAGGAATGTATTTTATACTCTTTAAGAGCAGGAGGCCAGGTCTATATAAAAGAGCTGTTTTAGCTTCAAATAAATCATATCATTTTGGAAAATAGGAGAGAAAACAGAAAACTTGATGCATCTCCAACCAAAGCTTGCCGGTCAGTTATCTTAATCTTTTATTTTCTGCATAAAACTCTACAAGCCTGTACACTGTATAGTGCACTGTGTGTACATATACTTGTACATAGATGAAATAATGTTCTAAGTGGTTAAATTTTCTTCTAGTCCTTGATCTATAGATTAACAATTATTCAGGGATTAACATTTTAATTAATACTGGTTTAGTAAGGATTTTATACACCTATTCTTGGATCCAAAGCAGCACAATCTCTCTCCCCCCCCCCCCCTCTATCCAGACCTCCATCCATAAAAAAAGGGAACAACATCCCAAACTGCATGTAGTAAAAAATCTAAAATTCTTTAGAAGAAACTTTAAATTTGCTCAATACATGTGGGTTGTTATTTTAGTAAACGTTTCTTTGGGACAGTTAAATTGGTAAAAACTTGGTGACAGGTTCCCTTGATACAAGTAGTATTTTATTTTTCAAAGAAGTTTTTATAAACATCCAAAAAGTTTCAGTTGTGGCCACTAAACCTTGAAAAAAAATCCTTTTAAACTGATTCCAGATTGGGATTTGAAAAAATATTGAAAGATCTTGTTTTTAGTGTCTGGTAGTCATTTTGTCTGGCTAATTTTCTGCCTTCACACAAACAAAGGAGAATCCTTGCCTAACTCAGGCTTTAGTGCAGAGGATAAAAAGTTGTTAAAGGTAAGAGAGCTTGATAATGACCAACATAAATAATAAATATTTAATCAGAGACGTCAATTGAGTAAATCTTATGTTTCATTGAGGTTTGTCCCATGTGAAGTTTAAATGTTTTCTCCTGTTTAACCCCTGTAGATTTTAGTTTTCTCAATCTCAATGGGGAAGAGCCACCTCCCATCCATCTTCAATCTGTAATTTTGAGGCTTAAAAGTTTAAAAGTTGATCCACTGAATAAACAGAACCACATCCAGGCTGAACTTCTGAAGAGATATCCCACGTCAGCAATGTATCAACATTTCATATTCTTAGTTTTTATATGGTTCAGCATATCCAAAATTCAAATTTAAGCCATGCTAATTACTTAAATCTTAGGAAGAAAGCTTACTCGAAGATATCTACTATCAGCTTGGGAATCCAAAAACTACAATTCCTGAAACCCCTCAAATCAGGAGTATCAAAAACCTGCTTCAAACCTTTAAAGCGCCTCCAGTAGTTCTAGCTAGAGGTAAGATCATGTCTCCTTTATATTACAAAAAAAAATGTTATTTTTAAATCTAATATGAATATTTTCTCAGAATGGAAAAAGCTATCTCTTCCCTTGGAAAGCCTTGACAAGTTTGAAAATAACATTGCGAGATGCGTGTTGTGGATTCCTGAGGACTGGCTGGAGAACGGATCAATCAAAATAAGAAGATTCAACCTTCTCCCAACTACCACTGAAGGTAAGGTGAAAAGTCATTAATACAATCAAAATATTTGAATCACATCATATTTGCAGGAGCTTGGAAAGGGTTCGTTGTGACTAGATATGTTCTGAATCACATGAGAAGATCACTCAAGGTTCTCAACATCTTGGGTCTGAAGAGTTCTGCCTCCTTGTTCAAAAATGCGTTCCTTGAAATACAATCTGAAAAGGTTAGTTTTGTGGTATTAATAGATAATTCGTTTATACATGTCAAATTCTAAACAAGAGAAGTACCTGACCTAGGAATCCATTTAGAAGCGCAATCTAATTTGTACTTTAACTCTATTAAACTCAATTAAATTCCTTCAATAATCAAAAAGTTCAAAAAGTTCAAAGCAACGATAAGATTTCTTCAAAATTGCATTTCAACAAATCAATGACTTTCAATGTAATGAACACTTATTTCTATGATAACTCTTGAATATTTTTTAGGAACGTAACAAGCGGTCAACCGACTCAAGACTATGTAGTACAGAGGAGCAGAGCTGCTGTCTGTCCTCTGTATCGGTTAACCTGACGTCTATTGGTTGGGATTTTGTACTAAATCCTCAAGTGATAGAATTCACATACTGCGGAGGACACTGTGATCCATTCAGAGTTCCTCCAGGAATGTTTGTTCCACAGATGGCAGCACTCAGATGGGTAGGTTCATCAAATACTAATAAAAATTATTGTTTTTGCATTTTCTATGAAACTTTACTCTCTAGACATTTGCTTAAAAGCAACAACAACTTCTGATGTTGGAAGGAAGGCTAATTTTTTAAAGTATATCGGGTTTCTAACTTATATATTCATTTTAGAAAATCCACATGAGTGGTCTGCACAACCTGCCAGCACCCTGCTGTTCCCCAAGGGAGTATGGAAACCTCGAAATCCTCTACTTTGACAACCTCCAACCTGATGGCAGTGTTGAGGTTAAGTCTGGAACCCTACAAAACGTCCTCGCCACATCCTGCAGATGTAGCTGAATGCTTCAGTATCCATGGCTGGATTTAATTTAGTTAAATCATTTATTCTCACAAAAAAATGTAAATTCAACGGATAATATCCTGTTTATATCAATTAAACTTAGAAAATTAGAATGATTTAGACGAAGTTGTAGCATTGGGGAAAACCAGCCTTTATAATAAAATTGTATATTTATAAACCAGATAATTTGAAGTTGTAATATATTTGATACAAGTACAACACAATAATATATGACCTATCTTTCAACGTTGTAAACACATTGATATAAGTTATCCTCATATTAAAAAATTATATTTTCACAAATTGTATTTGAATTCAATAAAATAAGATATATTTAAGTGTTTTTTTTTCAACCTATTCATGCATTAAACCGACTTTACACTACCTTTAATATTTTCCCACAAACAAATAAAAATTGTAAAAACTTAAAACATTTATTTAAACAAACAATTACCCTACTAGAGGTTCCTAGAATCAAATTTTAAAAACATAAATGGAGCTAATTAATAAGATGAGAAATTAAAAGAGGGACGGAAGAGAAAGTAAGAAGAATGTGGCTCAAATTATGCAATTGTGTTGTTAGCCTACCCTAACCCCCCTGGGAAACATAACAGAAATGTTATTTTTATGCATGGAAAAGAGTTTATAGTACACTGTAGGTACATTGTACAGGGGTGAAGAACAATTGTTTTGAAAGTGTTATGCTACAAAAGAATATCAAGGGCGTACCAAGAAATTTTTCGAGGGGGTCTTACACCCCCTGAGTACACCTCTGTAGAAAATATTCAATAAAAAAATGAATATAGGAATTTATTTATAAACCCGGTTTTCTGAATACACTATTGTTTGAGAGTTTTGGACATTATTTCTGGCTCTACGGAACATCTATAACGAGCAGCAAGATTGGCTATATTCAGAGGCAACTTATAAGGTGGGGAAAGGGTAAGCCCCCGCTGGAAAATCGGGTCAATATCCCCACCCCTAATCAAATACAGACCCTTTTTATTTTTTAACACTGTATTTTGTTATAAAATTTACCTGTGGCGCCATTTATCTGTCAAAATTTTGTTAATTTTTTTAATATTTTTTCTTCCACGGGAAATTTTTAAAAGTAGGCACGACATTTTCCCCTCCCACCCCTCACCTTTCCCCTCCCACCCCTCACCTTGCTACAAACTCTTTCCTTCTAGTAATATTCATTCACGGTTATTGGTTAATTATAATAGTCTTTTCTAACAGAACTAAAAGTATACAATAGCAGTATACAATATACAATATACAATATACATACATAATACATTGAAAGAGAGAAAGATAGAAGGAATGAAGGAATAAACAAGTTTAGTACACTCAAGAGGACCTTTTACAGTGGTAATATTTTCGTTTATTTTTAGAATCTCATTTAGTTCCGCTGTGTTTCGTGTGGTGACCTTTCTAATATTCTATTAGACATGGAACAGCTTACAAGTCTTTATTATGACATTTTTATACCAAAAAGGAGAATAATCTAAACTATTAATTCTGTTAGATCAATTAGTTGCAAAGATATTGGGATTAGAAGGCTAAAATTTTACTAATGGAAGTCTATAGGATGTAGCTTTTACTTTTCCTATTTGATTTGGTATAAATCGGAAATCTAATTTAACCATTACGTCTTTATTTCCACTGAGTATAGTCTATATTAGATCTTAGTTCTCTCAAGAAACTGGAACTATTCACACGTTTATACAAATATACTCACTATAGTATGTATTTTCATTCTTAAATATAATAATGAAATAAAAGTTTGAATTATCGAACATGTTTTGATAATGCAGAGTTTATTATGGTAAAAAGACCAAGTTTATGCATCTTATTTATACCTATATATACCTTTTTTTAAACATTTAATATTTTTTTCATTAATATGCTTCAACAAAAATCAGAATTTTTTTCGAAATTTAGCTTTTATTCAAATAAAAAATATTGACCCAGATATATTTAAGACATCTGAATGATTTTTGAAATTGATATAAATTTATTTCTTTAATGTACAGGCCTGTGCGACAGTAAACGGAGAGTTTAGTTAACTATAGTTTAACTTTACTTTTTCTTAACCAGTTAAACTTTTCATGAAAACCTCATATTTGAAATTTAGTTTAAGCCAAGATTATCAAATTATCAGAGTTTTGGTTTCATTTGTTCTCAAACTTTTTCTTAATTTTTTTTCATAATTATTGATGTATCAGGAAATGTCTATGTGGGGTATGTTTCTACTTATCTCTCAGATAGGGTTTACAATGGGACAGGTACTAATATAAAACACCTATTTTCACAATCAAAATCGATCTATGATTTTTTCAATTTTTTCCCCTGAAAGAGTTTTATATCTTTACAAAACAATCAAAACAACATCCCGCTCGCTCTGAAAGTAATTTTAAAAACTATTTTCAGAAGATGATCAAATTCTTTTTTAGTATTTCTCCTGGAAAAACAATATTGTAATTTAGGTTTTCCACTCCAATGATGATTTACCCAGCATAGTTTCTATTCTCAGTGAAGGTAGTATAAATTGTGTGTTTCATGGGTGAATAAATAATTTGACCTGAGCTGGGAACTTTTGTATTATGGATATCGAGATAAATGCTTGATCTCAATCTTTTGTTAATCTGCAGATTAATTTTATCTTTTTCGATATTCCCCATGTTAATCGTGCCCTGAAAGGAATAATTGAAATGAAGTAACTAAGCATTAAGTTCCCAAAGTGATTATCTAGATTCTGACCAAACGATCCGGATTATGAATATCCACCACAAGAGTTTCCAATTCTGGTCGTAAACATGAAGTAGAAATTAACATAACAATAGTAAACATGAAGTAGAAATTAACATAACAATAGTAAACATGAAGAAGAAATTAACATAACGATCGTAAACATAAAGTAGAAGTTAACATAACGATCGTAAACAGGAAGTAGAAATTAACATAAACATCGTAAACATAAAGAAGAAATTACAGTATCGATAGAATACATGAAGTAGAAATTAACATAACGATCGTAAACATGAAGAAGAAATTAACATAACGATTGTAAACATGAATAAGAAATTAAAAATAACGATCGTAAACATGAAGTAGAAATTAACATAACGATCGTAAACATGAAGTAGAAATTAACATAACGATCGTAAACATGAAGTAGAAGTTAACATAACGGCCGTAAACATGAAGTAGAAATTAAAGTATCGATGGAAAGCATGAAGTAGAAATCCGTTCAGGCAACACCTAATGGGTTCGTTCAACCCAGTCTTCGTCTGAAAAAAGACAATATATAGTTTTTAGGCAAGTTTTCTATCTCCAATCAATTTTAATTCTCAATAAGAAAAATACTTTAAATAAAAAAGCTTATGATTACATCTCATGGCCTGACAAGGATAAAATCAAAATATCAAAATTCTAAAACTGAGCGAAGGTTTTTTTTTTACATGAAGCTAATGAATGGAAAGTTTAAGAAATATGAGAGAAAGTTTGAATATTCATGCGTCGCTTCAGTTTCATCTTTCTCTGCATCCACTTCTTCACACTCATAACATGGACTCAGCATTCTTCTCCGGATTTTCAGAAATCCTGAACATTAAATGTTTATAGCAAAATCCTAAGATTAAACACTTTCAGACAAACCCCAGTAAAAAAATATTTAGTTTTCAAAATTATAAACATTTTTATCTATAAGGATATCGTTGTGAATCGGAAATTGCCATCATGGCATGAAAAGCCACTTCAAATTAAGCTTTAAAAACGGACTGTTCGCTTATTTGGGTAAGTTTAGGGTGAACTAATTAGCCTATTCGCTATTCATTCGTATTAATCTTACTTTACAAAGACAACTGTAACCGGAGAAAAAGCCGACTTTTCGTTCTTTTTGTCATAGTCATTAAATTTTTTTCAAATATTAGATTAAACTGTTATAGAATTTATCAGGCTGTTGTTACTGAAAAAATGTTTAAATAGTGTCTATGCAAAGGTAGTGTACCTTTCCGCTGGAATTCTAAACGATAAATCGGCAATTTCTCTGGCCATAGATATCTTTGAAAAATAAGACTAAAACTAATAAATAGCTACTAGGCTATTTAGTTTACCATGAAATTACCCAAATAAGTGAACGGTCCCTTTAAGGATTTCAATACGCATGAACAATTGCATGAATATTGAATACCTCTAAAATAGCCGGCAGTAAAAACCATTGAATAAGGCACACAATCGAACAATCGAAATGCTATGAATAAATCTCTAGTCATTAGTCAAGTTCTATTATAATATAAATATAAAACCAATATAAAAGAAGAATTGAATAAAGGTCAAACATTGAAGGTAAAAGATGGTAAAACATAGCAAAGTATAGCACTGTTATTTTGGTTCGCTGTGTTATAAAGTTTTTGGACAGAAATTTTCTCTTTATCAAGAAGGTTCAAACCTTTTTAAATTTAATTTTGGCCCGAGCTTTAGCGAGGGACAAATATAATCTAAAAAAGCGAAAACCTTCTAGATATTGAGAAAATTTAAGTCGTTAAAAAAAATAGTGTTATAGGTCATTTTATCAAACGATTGTGTCTTATTTCAACGGCTCTTTTAAATCAAATAAGCTTTGAAACAAATCAGAAGTCAAAATATAAAGTTGATATAATCTTATTTTCATTTCAACTGAAAAACATATTTTGGAAATATCCTAATTTTTTTTGAGAAAATCCGGGAACCAATCAAAACTTTATAGCACAGCAAATTTTACTATATAGCATGATGATTACTTTATAGCATGGTGCTATAATTGACCTCTAATTTAACATTATAGCACGTTCATTATGAAATTCACGATGAAGTGAGTAAGAATGATAAAGTACACTATAGTTTCATAAAACTAAGTATATAATCAATTCAACTATATGACGTGTCAATTCATGTAATTGCGAAAAAGTTTTTGCCGGGATTTTATTTTTTTCTTGTTTGTTTGAGACCAAAATTATAGCATTTTTACACCAAACGTAGTACAGTGTATAACGTTACTTTATCATCCTGCTGTAGGATGATAAAATAACTTTATCACTCTACAACGGAAATGAAATTCGAAATTTTGATAACAGGGTCATAGTTTCGTTTTCACCCTGTTAGTTGGATTAAGTTTTTTTTCTATTTTAAATCATCACTCAAAATCATATATTTTGATGGATGTTGCAAATTGCAAATTTTCTTGTTATTCGAATTGGAAACCATATATTTTTAAAAACAAATTCATAAAGCATCATATCGCTCACTGTTGATTTTTATGGTTTTATGAGTATTTTTAGAAAATATTGTTTTATCTATTTTTATCTTTTTAATTGGATTAAGATCATCTTTAATCTTCATTAATTGGATTAAGCTCAACCCACAGAATGACAGAAAACCTTCCATAATTAGGCAATCCTGTTCGACTGGACAAATCTCTTCTGAATAATCTATTATCTTCATGGAATAATAGAAAGTCGCAGGTACTCCAGCAACATTATGTTGATTTTCAAGGTAGAAATATTTGTTTTATAACATCAATTACTAGCTTGGGAATCCAGCGCTGCCCAGTTTAAGAAAAGTTACTCTTGCCGTTTACCCGCACTTGAACGATTTTACCAGGAAACCAAATTTTCGCTATTAAAGTCGACTATGAATCTTAAAACCAAGCTAAGAACATTCCCGTGGGCCTCCCGACTTCCCCAATCAAAATTTGAGGCAAATCGGTCCAGGGGTTCCTGAGTTATGATCGGGAAAAAAACAGACATACAAACAGAGATTTCAACCTTTTTCCTTTTTTTCCACAGTTTCATGACTCTCACTGTATCTTATTTATTTCCAAAAATGCTATTCATTTCATTCATTCAAATAAAGTCTTTGCAATTTTTCTCCAAACTGCATTGCGAGGTTACTGTGTATTTAACTTAATTATCTCAACAAATTAATTGATTTGCTAAATTATATCCTCTTTATTACTCTGAATCGGAATCTGCAGAAATAAATGGGATTGGAACCAGGATGTTTTAATTCATATTTGTAAAATATCTAAAAATATTACATATAAAAAAGGCGTATGAACGGCGTATGAATCAAAATCGGAAAAATTTTGTCCAAAAAAAGTTGTGTTTTCAGATTTCTGCAGTAAAATACTAATTTCTATTAAGTAATTATTTCCGAATTTGGTTAATTTTGATCCTTTAGTTTTTATTCACACAACTTCTGTTAGGGATAATATCATTTTAAACAAATATTTATTAAAGTCATCCTTTAACTTACCTAAATAGTTTAGTTTTGCCATTTACAACTCGAATCTTAGAAACAATGACAAAGATATAGTTGTTTTCTAATTTCAAAAATTATTAATAAAACAAGACATTCGTATATATGTTACGTATAGCCGGCCAAACAGCTGGACCGATTAGGCTGAAATTTGTTGTGAACACTCGTGGGTGGTCGGGGGTATTATAGGCTAAAAAATCCAAAATTGTTTTTTTCAAATAATTTTCTTTAGAAATATTTTTTTTAAATTTATTTTTCCACAGGCAACGCCGGGCCCTTCAGCTAGTTATAAAATAAATTTACAATTCCGTTAAATGGACTGTAAGCGTAGTTTCAAGTGACCCTCCGTGCAAAGATCGTAATGACCGATTCTCAACAGTATCCTTGAAACCTTTAACTGATTATGTATGAATTAGATATCCATGTTTATCATTTTTAAAACTGATTATTTTTTATTACGGTTTATGTGCATTTTTTACTGCTTGAAAACAAACAGAGAAATATCATAATCTAACAATTTTTAAGAAAGCAAACGATGAAATCTCAACATTATGTATCAGATAAAGGTTTTAAGGGTACCCTTGTCATTTTTTAATTGAAAGTAACTTAAAATAACGCTGACAGACCCTTTATATAATGTTTTTACCTAGGAGCAGTCTAGGGATGGGAAACCATGTTCATTTTTCACAGATTCTGAGGAGGGTGAGAGGGAGGGCAGATGTACAAATTATGGAGCTTGTAGAATTGAACATCAAGATTACTTCTCAAGGGTAAAAAATCTAAAAATTCTTTTTCAAATATCTTTAAAGGAATTGAGTCTTTGCTACACTTTCAAATTTTTAATCCGTATATCTTTGAAACCTTTAGATGTAGATTATCCTTTCTTTTCCTTTTCCTTTTATTTCTATTTTTATTTTTTTTAGAATTGGGGGGAAATATTCCCACAACCTCTACTTTTAGAGGTTTTTAAATATTTTCTCCTGAAACACTTAATTTTGTATGTTTTTGTTACATTTCATAAATAAATAATCTTTTACTTTTACTTTACTAGATTAGAAAATTTGAGTATGTGGAAAAACTCAATTCTTTTACCTATAGTAAAGATTATTTTTAGAAAAAAAAATCTAAAACAAGATTTTTTATGCTTCTTTAACGAATGACTTTTTATTAAAGTAATCATGATTCTAAGAAAGCGAAAAAATAATTTTACTAAATCTATGACAATTAAAAACTAGTTATAAAATCAATCAAATCAATTCAAAAATATAAAATATGCCATAAAGGAGGAGTCAAAAGTTTATTTTTAACTAAAAGAAAATAAAATAAAAAAAAATTTTGGTACGTTTTTAAGGTTTTTTTAATAATTTTTTTAAATAGCCGATTATCTGAAAGTCTCTTTTCCACTTCTTAATAATTCATGAACTCTGAATACGAAGATAATTAATTTAAAAGAGAAATCTTTGAATAATTGATGGAACCCTTTGCCATCTTTTGATTCATATCACCCTGGTCTAACTATGCTAGGGCTAGGTGTATTTAGTTAATTATATATGCATTTGATTTGTTTATATACGTACAGAGCGTCCCATATCATATTATGTTATATCCAAGATTTAAGGCTGAAATACGCACATAATGCTCGAAAAACTGGCGTTTTCTGCTTTCAAAATTTGATATTAGGCTTCTACAATGTTTTAGATTTAAATGATTCGTTATTTTTTCATAATGATTAGTCCCTAAAATCACCATTTAGAGCGAGAAACATGTACGATCCGGAATTATGTGACGTTGGACACCCTGTAATATAACAATCAATAAGTTTATTAAGTTGTTTTATACTTTTTATTTAAAACAAATGGCCGACAAAGTAGTGTGTAAAAGAAAAAAGAGAAATTTCAGTTAATTTTGTCCGAACTTTTAGATCCGTGTAAATTGGATTTATTTAACGGGAAATGTTTGGAACCTCTTAACTTGAGAGAAAATTTAATATTTGAAATTTCTTCCTAAAACCGATTATCTAAACATCATATTATAATTAACATAGGGAAGTACAGAGACGACTGTATAGAATTTATTCAGTCAGTCAGGGCTGTATAGTACATTATATCATTCTTCTAATAAATTATGAACCAAATTTTGCATTTATACTATCTTGGCTAGTTCGTTATCAATTTCAATGAAATAAATTTTAAATAATTATCAATTTAAGAGACAATTAATTGCCTAGAATATACTGCATAGGGAGCTAACTATATACGAGCATATACTGCATGGGGAGCTAACTATATACAAGAATATACTACATGGGGAGCTAACTATATACGAGCATATACTGCATGGGGAGATAACTATATACGAGCATATACTGCATGGGGAGCTAACTATATACAAGAATATACTGCATGGGGAGCTAACTATATACAAGCATATACTGCATGGGGAGCTAACTATATACGAGCATATACTGCATGGGGAGCTAACTATATACGAGCATATACTGCATGGGGAGCTAACTATATACAAGAATATACTGCATGGGGAGCTAACTATATACAAGAATATACTGCATGGGGAGCTAACTATATACGAGCATATACTGCATGGGGAGCTAACTATATACAAGAATATACTACATGGGGAGCTAACTATATACAAGAATATACTGCATGGGGAGCTAACTATTTACGAAAACAGCTACAGCGCTTTTAACAGTTCTTCAAACACATAACATGAAATGCTACTTACTGTAAAGTAATTTAAACTTCATTGTTTATTATGCTTCGGTGTAAAAAAAAAATTTGATTTTTATTATTTAATCAGGAAGGAGCCTGTAGAGACTTCCAGGATACTGGAATACATACACATGTTGTCAGGTATTCTTTTATTTCTTTATTTTTATTTCTAAATGTTGTATTAGCATTCATGTACTTTATCTATAAACAATCCATTTAAGTTGCTACGTGAAGATAACAACTAAGCAGAGAATTGATGGGATCTGTTCTGACCGGAACTGCAGAGCTGGGTCAAGGGTCAGATTTTTCCACAGGTAGAATACTTTACACTAGTAACAAGGGTGAAAATATTTGGCACTTTCTTTTTATAATTATGCTCAATCTTAAAGTTTTCTTTGATACATTGTCAAAAACATCTCTTGAATATTAGGGAAATTATAAGCAAAAACCCTGTCTTTTTAAAGATATTTCTCAAAATATGAAAAAATGGTTTTTAGCTCAAAATAAAACAATTTTTTGAAAAATCGAAAAACGTACAAATGTACTATGTTCAACGGTTAAAGACGTATTTTTAAACTTTTAAATATCCATCTCAACATGTTTTGAAAAATTGAAAAACTAACCTTCCATTATGATCGTAGTTTTTTTTAAACCCTAAACTACTGAATGAGTTTTGATTTTTTCTATTTATTTATTTTACAAATGTTGCTTCTAATTTTGCTAATGTATGATATTTTGCTGATGCAAAAAGGATTTGAAATTCTATGAAATAGTTTCACTCACCAGGGGAGTTTCATTAAGAAATGAAAGTTTTAGAAAATGAACGTAATATAATGTTAACAACCAGAAAGAAACAATGTTAATGTGATGTTAAAAACAGTTTAAAATTGACAGTTGTGCTTTCCACAATTAGGATCTTCTAAAATGTTGCAGGACATAGAGAGAACAGTTCTTGTACTATAGAGAGAACAGTTCTTGTACTATAGAGAGAACAGTTCTTGTACTATAGAGAGAACAGTTCTTGTACTATAGAGAGAACAGTTCTTGTACTATAGAGAGAACAGTTCTTGTACTATAGAGAGAACAGTTCTTGTACTATAGAGAGAACAGTTCTTGTACTATAGAGAGAACAGTTCTTGTGTTTTAGAGAGAACAGTTCTTGTATTTTAGAGAGAACAGTTCTTGTACAGAAGAGAGAACTATAGAGAGAACAGTTCTTGTACTTTAGAGAGAACAGTTCTTGTACTATAGAGAGAACAGTTCTTGTACTTTAGAGAGAACAGTTCTTGTACTTTAGAGAGAACAGTTCTTGTATTTTAGAGAGAACAGTTCTTGTATTTTAGAGAGAACAGTTCTTGTACTATAGAGAGAACAGTTCTTGTATTTTAGAGAGAACAGTTCTTGTACTATAGAGAGAACAGTTCTTGTATTTTAGAGAGAACAGTTCTTATACTATAAAGAGAACAGTTCTTGTATTTTAGAGAGAACAGTTCTTGTATCTTAGAGAGAACAGTTCTTGTACTATGGAGAGAACAGTTCTTGTATTTTAGAGAGAGCAGTTCTTGTATTTTAGAGAGAACAGTTCTTTCATACTTTCCACAAATAGAACCCACTTCCTTTTCCAGGCCATAGTAAGAACAGTGCTTGTACTTTGCACTTACAAAGTGTAAACTCCGGTTCTTTCAAGTAACAGGCTGACTTTTAAGCAGCAAAAGTACAGTGTACAGTACAAATACAGAATATAACAGTACACCAAATGAATGACCCCCTTCTAGTAAAAATGTATGTAAATTTTTGAATGTTCATATAATGAGACGAAACTGAACAGTTATTTCAGTTCGTTAATAGAATTTCCCGTTAAATTTCAAAAAATTTCTTTCATTTCGTTAACGGAACTTTTACCAAATGCATTTACTTGATATTTTAGAGATTGCAGTGAGAGCCCTCGAGCCCCTCCACGTATAGTTGATAATAATAATCTATTTGGATTACAACTGAAAAATTAAACAGTCCAAATGATAAAGGTAAAGACTCAAAATGTAAAGGGGGGACTAGAGATGATACTGCAGGGTTACACACAAAGGATGAGAATTCAAAGAAAGCCTGTACGGTTTCCTTATATTTATGATATGTACGGATATGATTCCGTGCAACTGTAAACCTGCAATTGTTCATGGTAATCCTAGACCCATTAAGCTAACCAGATGTTTATTGGTAAAACTATTGCTTGATAACAATATCAAATAAATGTAAGATTAATTACGTAGCATCTTCTTAGCTCACCTTTTTATGGGTCACACTATAATATTAAAGGGACTGTATGGGTAATTTTAAATGATGGCAATTCTCGATTTACAACGGTACCAATTCAAGTTATGTCAAGTATGAATCAGATAGTCATGTTTTTTTTAACTGTTCAGTGTTTATGCTCCTTAGTTCTTGCTTATAAGAAACAACGGGTAAATTATCAGAAATAGACACTTTTAGAGAGAGAAAAACGAGGTTATCTCCCGCATTTTTTTTATCAGAATAAGGTTTTTATGTTTTTTGTTTCAGATTTTTGAGAACCTTCTCAATGTTAAAAAAACCTCAAACTCAAATTTTTGCATCCCTTTATGTTCGAAACCTGATCGCGTAAACCTTTGGTATTGTTTGTTGATGGTTATTTGATTGGAGAACCATGAAGTTTGAAAAATCTAAGGTCTTTGACATAAAATTGCATAAGGTTTAGGGCAATCTATAAGTTCAGTTATTAATCTAAAGTTTTCGCAATTTTAAAAGTGTTGATTTAATTTGTTTAATGAATACTTTTAGCGTTAAACATCCTTTTTTTCAGGAAAATCAAGACAAAGAAGTAGAATCCCTCATTGAATACTTCTTAAATGTGCGTATAATATAAATGTTAAATGTAATATATGTAAGTTAAATACATATTCTAAATTTTGTATTTTCATCGTTCTTAATTTATGATTTAAAGTTTAAAGCCGAGTTTCATTCTTTGAATCAAATTATGAAGATTTTAAATATTTGAATTTGATACTGCAGATTAAAGATAAAGATGGACATTATCTATATTTTCGAGTTTTTGGATCAGTAACATCATACATTTTTATTTTGTATATATTCGTATATAATCTAATAAAAGCGGATTCGATTTGTTCCCTTGTCGTTCAAAGGGGCCAGTGGCGCGGGGGGGGGGGGGGTAATTTTAGATTTTTTAAGCCACCTGAAACCAAAAAAAATATGTCCAACAAAACGGCCAGCACTAAATTCATGCAGAGCTAATTTAATCTGGAATTCTGTATTTATCATCTTTCAATCTTTTTCAATCTATTTTAAACTCTTTCAATCTCTTTCGATCACTTTCAATATTTTTCAATCTCTTTTATTCTCTTTTCATTTCTTTTAATCTCTTTCAATAATTTTCAATCTCTTTAATCTCTTCCAATCACTTTCAATCTTATTGATTTTTTTCAATCTCTTTTAATCACTTTTAATGTCTTTCATTTTTTTTCAATCTCTTTCAATCTCTTTCAATCTTTTTCAATCTCTTTCAATCTTTTTCAATCTCTTTCAATCTCTTTAAATCTCTTTCAATCTCTTTCAATCTTTTTTAATTACTTTCAATCTCTTTCAATCTCTTTCAATCTCTTTTAATCTCTGTCAACCTCTTTCAATCCCTTTCAAAAACTTTCAATCTACTTGCGATCGAGTAATAACGACAAAAGTCTCAAGATAATTGGTTATATATTTCTTTCTAAGGTACAAAGTTATTTGGCGTGAAAATTATATCTCGTGGATCTAAAACTCCTCTCCGCTCTTCTAGTTGCTGCCTAGAAGAAAACACCATGGGGCGGCGGAGAGGTCTTCCTCAAGGCGAAGGTTGTGATGGGATCATCATTAAAAGCTGGCTTAAGACAATCCACTGAAACTGAATCTTGCTTGGATCCAATCTAGAGGCGGAAATATTTGCTCTGCCTATCAAGTACAAGATAAGGTCCTCTGTAGCGTGGAGCCAGGGTAGGAATAACTGCGTCCTCGCAAACAAAGACGAACTAGGCTGCTATAAGGGCTTCAGGGAGTTGAGAAGGAGAAACTGGACTAACATGATGAGGCAGAGGAATGGTGAAACCATCTATTGCTCTCTCCAACTTTCCCAGGAAAGTATCTAGTGGCATCTCTGGAACATCCACTAGTTCTCCAGGTAAGGTTACAGGATATCCGTAAATGGCCTTGGATACTGAGAGGCCCATGTCCTCCTTTGATGTTGCTCTCAAAGTCAAAAGAATCAGAGGGAGATGAGAGAACCAATCTGAACCTGCTAACCTTCAAACTTCTATGGAACCGCTCAATAAGTCCATTAAGTCCATTCAGGAATAAAGGAGGTTGTAGTGGAGGCTGAAATCCCCAAAATAGAACTCACTCCAGGCCAAATTGCAGATGTGAAATGTGAATTTAGAACCTCGGTCTAATGTGAGAAATGTTGGAACTCCGAACCTGGAGATCCATGTTTAGATAAATGGCACAAACACAGGACTCTGTGAAGATGGAGGACAAAGGAACAACCTCAGGCCATCTTCTAGTCCTGTGCATCATGGTGAGAAGATATTAGCCATGACTGAAAGGTAGTGGTCCGACAATATCAATGTGAACATGAGAAAATCTCTGGGTCATGATCTTGCCAAAAAACCAATGTCTCTGAACATTCCAGGCCAAACAAAGATTAATTTTCTTGATGCCCTGAAACCAGGGAGGGTGAGAGATATCATGAAACTGGTTAAAAAGTTGGCGTCGCAATTGAAGAGGAACTAGGGTGGGCACGGAGAGAACCAGTTGAAATTTTACATAAAATGTTTCCTGTTTTCAGAGGATGAGAAATCACTGAAAGAGAATAATTGTTGGTTTTCATTTCTTGAACAGATGAGCAAGAAGCTTGATATCCGGCTAAACTAACTTGAAAAATTTGCACGGAACTGTGTTGATTTTTTCCAACGGGCGGACAACAATAGTAAATAGTAATTAGGTTCAAGCTTAGAGTATAAAAATTTTCAAACGTTTTTCAAATATAGTTGGTTTTCAAATATAGTTGGTTTTCAAATATAGTTGGTTTTTCAAATATAGTTGGGTTTCAAATATAGTTGGTTTTAAATTATAGTTGTCAAATATAGTTGGTTTTCAAATATAGTTGGTTTTCAAATATAGTTGGTTTTCAAATATAGTTGGTTTTCAAATATAGTTGGTTTTCAAATATAGTTGGTTTTCAAATATAGTTGGTTTTTCAAATATAGTTGGTTTTCAAATATAGTTGGTTTTCAAATATAGTTGGTTTTTCAAATATAGTTGGTTTTCAAATATAGTTGGTTTTCAAATATAGTTGGTTTTCAAATATAGTTGGGTTTTTAGTGAAGGATGAAATTAAAGGTTTGAAAACTAAAGCTTGGATTATTTCCTCCTTGACTACGCTTCCATTTAATAAAAATGACCAGAAAATGGCCGACGGCCAGAATGAAAAAATCAAAAGTAATCTAAAACTTTTTTCACTGAAAAATTTGCGTAGAACTGTGACAATTTCTCTGATGGGCGGACAACAGTAGTAAACAGAAAGTGAGTTCAAACTTTGAGCATGGACATTTACTCCTGCACTGCCGTTCTGTGGAATAACAGAACTTTTTTTTGGCAAATCTGAAGTTTTTGCTTGATGCCATGAAATCTACAGTAGGAAATATACAGGGTGTCCCACGAAACATGACAGTATGCAGGACGACTTGAATGTCGTCTTGATTTTTGATATAATTTGCTGCGTTTATTTGTCAACTTAATTTTAGAAGTAAATTTCTAGAGATAATAATCACAAAATTTCCCTTGTCCTGCCATTTCCAAAATGTGGTCTGCCTTTTTTGTGCTTTCAATATTGCCAGAGATATGAAGAATTTCGTTCAGATTTCGACAATTTTGCTTTTATTTAAGAAAATTGAAATCTGAACCAAACTCTTTATATCTCCGGTAATATTGAAAGCACAAAAAACGCAGACCACTTTTTGGAAATGCCAGGGCTAGGAGAATTATGTGATAATTGTTTCCAGAATCATGCATGTTAAAGTAGATAGAAGACTAAATGTCACAAATAAATTCAAATACCAAAGACGACTTTCAAGTCGTCTTCCTATTGTCATGTTTCGTGGGACACCCTGTATCTAAAATTGAGCAAAGCGACTCTAAGCTGAGTTTAAATTTAATTATGCATCTCGATGGGTTGCTTAACTAAAAAAGACTAATAAAATCAAAAATGTGTATTCAAAGTCCGGGGTCACCAATTCTATCGGCCAAGTAGGATTCAAGAGCTCAGAGGAGAGAAGGCGACATTCATAACCGCCACATGTCTTTCAATTCTTGCAATATCTTTCAATCTCTTTCATTCTCTTTCAATCCATTTCAATTTCTTAGAGGCTCTCTCAGTTCAATCTCTTTCAATCTCTTTTAATTTCATTCAATCTCTTTCAACCTCTTTCGATCTTTTACATTCTCTTTCAATCTCTTTCAATCTCTTTCAATCTCTTTCAATCTCTTTCAATCTCTTTCAATCTCTTTCAATCTCTTTCAATCT